CAGAGGTACTCATATTTATATGTGGTATTCAATATCTGCATACTTCCCCTTTGAATCCTCCTCCTCTCCTCTCTTTTGCTGTATTCCACCTCTTATTTTGCTGTCTCACACACACTCTCTCTCTTCTCTTCCTTTCCCTCTCTCTCACTTCCTCTCTGGTAATCCCACCCTCTCAGAACCAGTGCATTTTTCTCTCTCTCCTCTCTCTACTATAATCACCTCATCCAGCCATCTTTCTGTCTCATCTCCCTTTTTTCTTGTTCTCTCTCTCCATCTTTTTCGCTTGCTTCTTATACTCTCATTCTTCTCGGCTCACTTTTATCTCTGGGTCTATTCTGATGTTGTCGCATCCCACCATCTCTCTCTCTCTCACACACACACACACACACACACACAGCAAGGATTTTCCTGTTTTCCAGTAGAAGCCTTGTTTTGCTCAGTCAGCACACCTCCCTCCCTCCCTCTCTCTCTCTCTCTCTCCCCCCTCTCTCTCTATCTCTCTTTCTGCATCCCCTGTCTCTCTCCATCTCTCTCTCTTCCTCCCTCCCTCCCTCCCTCCATCCCTCCCTTTCACCCTCCTCTCTCTCTCTAAGCCATTTGTGTTTCTTGCTTTTTACTTCACAATCATTTATTCCTCTACTAATCTCTCTCTTCTTGCTCACACTCCCATTCCCTTCCACACTCTCTTCCTCCCTCCTTCCACCACCCCTCTCTCCCGGTGCAGTGTCTGTACTGATCCTAGTCTCTGGGTTGTTAGTTCAGTCATTGTATTAACCTCTCCCGACTGTGGGCTACTGTGTGTGTGATCCCTGCCTGCTCCCCCCTATCACTCTCATACAGTGCAGGCCTATGCACCTCCTTACTCAGCATGTTAACTTAATTCATATTGTGTGTGTGTGTGTGTGTGTGTGTGTGTGTGTGTGTGTGTGTGTGTGTGTGTGTGTGTGTGTGTGTGTGTGTGTGTGTGTGTGTGTGTGAATGAGTGTACAACCATAGGTGTATCTGAATGGTTGTGACATAGACCTGTAACCTTTTCATCATTTTGTACGGTAGGTGCTGTCCATGGTGCTGAAATGAAATGATGTCCCAAGTCTTGATGTGATCATAATCTCTATATTCATGTAGATATGAATATGTTATGATTTAAGTTATTATGGGGAGATGTTTGTTGGCTGTAACATGGTATGCTCTTAGAATGGTCTATTGACCGCAACATTGTTTTGTAAAATATATTTAAAGGGGCAATCTGCAGTTGCTACATCCATATTTTGACTTATAAATTAATGATTTTCAATGACCCATTGATTCTTGAAGAATATAACTTATAAATGCATCATGAGCTTAGTTCAACTGTCGTACCTCATCAGAACCCAAAATATTAGCTTGTTTTACTCCTTTGTTTGTAAACAATGTAATTGTAAACAAACACGGTATAGCCTCAAAACATGGTTAAACAATAATTTTGATATCATGGATGGTTAGTCCATTGCATCCATAGCTGTCTCTATGACTTTGAGAGTGGTTAAATTTATTTTGCCCCATTCCTCTGCTGTTTTCCTGAAAAAGTTGTTATTTTTCGAACTGCAGATTGCCCCTTTACTACTGTTATAATTTAAGTAATTATGGCAACCTGATGTGGGTACATTTTAGTCATTTAGCAGACTCTCTTATCCAGAGCGACTTACAGTTAGTGAGTGCATACAATTTTTTAGATTATGGATTTGTTTCGATAGAGAAAATGATATATATGTTGGTAACATATGGGAAACTGCATTGGTAAACTCTATTGACGGCAGCATAGGTTTTTATGATCTATTAGAATGTGGAACATCCAGTATATTGGAGTTTCCTTTTCAAACACAATGGTGACGAGGCTATGATGAAGTATTTGATCAAGCTTATTTGTTCAGTGTATTCATTTGTTGATAACATCTTTAACAGGGGTCTCCAACCTTTTCTAGCATGAGAGATGCTTTAAAAAAATTAAATATGTCGAGAGCTACTCATTTTTCTCTAGCTTTCAAATAGGCTGCCGAGTGGCGCAGAGTTGGCATTTAATTGAGAAGGTTTTGGGGAAAGTATTTCTGTCAACCCACAAACAAGATGTTTACCACATCAACTGTCTACACACGGAGTGATAGACAAACGCGCACACCACACAGACAGACGGGCAATATTCCTAGAAATTAATTGGCAGATATTGTGTTAGGTTTGGCTTTTTATGCCAATAGTGGTTAACCAGAGGCGGGATAATGTCAATGTTGTGTTGATTAAAAATAAGCTGGGCGCTTGCCGTGGCTGATACTTGTGAGATTTGTTTGACAGTTTGCGATGTAACACGTGAAATTGCATGTACTTTCAGAATTGTTTGGTGAGATACTCATAGGCGGGCTGCAAGCTACTGGTAGCTCGCGATCCACCTGTTGGAGAATCCTGATCTATAACATTGGTGTTTACATTGATACACGCTTTCTGATGTAGTAATTAGCTATTAGGTTAGACCTTTTTCTTATTTAAATGTATTTGTATTGATAGCCTAATGGTTTTTGGAGACATTGCAACAACAGACACATATTAAGGGCATGGTATATTATCTGGAATGTACTCTGTCATTACAGTAACATTCCAACAGAAATCACTGCAAGTCTCGCCCTCGGGTTTCCTTCCTTTACTAGCTCAACTTTATTTCTTCTAAATTTCCGGCCCCGTCCGGAAATAGCCGAAGGTGTCACGTGTTTTCACTGACGAGCGGTATGCACGGTGTCCATGGTGGTGAAACGGACAACCGCGGCAGCTATAGCATTCCCGTGCAGCACTATAGGACAATTCAGCTCACATTTCAATCCCCTTCTCCCACTCCAATAATCTACTATGCAGTCATTTATTCAGAGATGATGTGTGCTGACCATTGTTGACGTGTTTGTATACAGCAAATTAAATGTCATCGTTGTAGAATAGTTTTCAAATCATTTTTTTTTTTTGTATCTCTCCATATCAATTTTCCTTCACATTCCTCAGTTTTCATATATTTTATTATGAAAGATATGAAAACCCCTTCCCCAATACAAAATATGACCGTCCCATTCTTCAACACAATTTGAATCTACAAATTTTACTTGGAGGTTTGTAGCCCCCCCCCCCCATCTCTCTCTCTCTCTCTCTCTCTCTCCACCTTCTCTCTCTCTCTGACTGTGGTTCCCTCCTTCCTCTCAGGGGGACTGTGGTCCGGTCCGTGGCAGTTTGCCTGGACTTAATGAAGCGATAGCATGAGGTAGCATCACAGAGGACATCTGGAGAGGAGGGGAGTGGGGGGGCTTTCAACTCAGAGATGGAGAGCGGGAGAGAGGAGAGGAGGAGGGGGGTTTCAAACAGCACCGCCAGCAAAGTAACGGTCCTGCGGAAGTGAATAGCCAAAAGACAAAAGAACAGAAAGAGAGAAAGAGAGAGAGAGGTGCAGGGATGGAGGGAGAAGGACATACAGAGGGGAGAGGAGGAAAGGAGAGAGGGGTGTGTGAAAGAGAGAGAGAGGGATGGAGGGAGGTAGTAAATGTGATGAGTGCAGTACCTTTACTAAGATGGCGGAAACAGAGATGGAACGATAGAGAGAGAGAGAGAGAGAGAGAGAGAGAGAGAGAGAGAGAGAGAGAGAGAGAGAGAGAGAGAGAGAGAGAGAGAGAGAGCGGCTAAAAAGAGCATGGGAAGGGCAGGAACATAAAGGAATGGTAAGAGGAGAAAGCGAGGGAAGGAAGGAAAGCAGAGGACGGTTAAGAGGACGGGTTCTGATTCGCCCAGCGAAATCTGATTATTTTATGCGGAACATGAGTGAGCCAGGGGAGGGAAGCAAGGAAGAGAGAAAGAGGGAGAGGGGAAGAGGAGTAGGAGAGAAGAGAGCAGAGCTGAAGTGGATGGATTACTTTGAGTAGGTAAAGGACAAAATGTGACTACATAAGATTGACAGGGCCTTTCAGAAAGAGAGAGAGAGAGAGAGAGAGAGAGAGTGGAGAGAGAGATATAGTGTGAGAGAGAGAGAGAGAGAGAGAGAGAGAGAGAGGAAGCCTCATTCTTGTTTTCACTGCAGCAAAAGATCATTCACTTTTCCAGCATGGACCCGGTCCCCGCTCGCAGTGCAGCTCTACCAGTGTGTGTGCGTGCGTGAGAGAGTGTGTGTGTGCGGATACAGATCCATGTAGCTGTGTGTTAACCCTCCATGTGTGTTGTTACCTCCCTCCTCTGAATCTCCCTCTCCATCCAGACTAATATCACTCCATACACTCTGTAGTGTATCACCGTTCAATAAAGGGCACATACAATGGGATAATGCCGAGACGAATTTCTGCAACTCAGTCATTTGCTTCCTTCTCTCTTCTTCCGTCGTCTCCTTTTCTCATCTCCTTCGCTCGTCTCCTACTCTCGTCCCCTTTCGTCACCTTCTTTCCTTCATCCCCTCTGATCTGTAAGAGCAGGAATAGTGAAAGCCAGTCCTCCTGTAGGCTTTACTAGTGTGCTTCCCTCCACCCTCTCTTTACAGATCAGTGCAGACGAAGGAAGGGAGACTATTGAGATGCACCCCTCATTGTACAAGGGCACTGCATAGCCTTCTACAGTGTACACACACAAACACACACACACACTGACTCTGCAAACACAGCGACGATGTGAATAGGGCTCTGCTTACATACTATAACAGCAGTGTATCAGCTATATTAAGACTTTGCAGTAAAGAGACCCTGTGCTTGTATGTGAAGGTGCTGTATAGCTACACACACACATTCCAACCACTGCACCAAAGGAGGAATGTTAGCCACATGCTAAACTAATCCAGTGTAATCAATGACATTGCATCGCCGCAGTAAGGGTTAATACAGTATAATGAGAATGTACTCAGTCGACTACACGGCACATTAGCTTTGCACTGAGAATGAGAGAGGGAGAGGGGAGAGGAAGAGGGAGAGAGGAGAGAGGGGAGGGAGGGAGAGGAGAGAGGGGAGGGAGGGAGAGAGATGGGTGAGAGAGAGGGAGAGAGCGTGTAAGAGTGAGAACGTGAGAGAGAGGAGAGCAATAGAGAGGTAGAGAGAACAGGGTGCATTAATGGTCTGCAGTCTTTTCTCCCCATTTTGTGCAGCTCAGCAAATAATTGTTCTGCCTCTAGCTCTCCTCTCCCCCCTCCTCACACTCTGTCTCTTTCCCACTCTACTCTCCCCTCTCTCCAATTGGATAAGCTTGAAGCTTGGAGAGAGCGAGAGAAGGAGGGATGGAGAGAGAGAGAGACGGCGGGAAGGAGGGGGCGTGAAACACAGTCGTATTCATCTCACTCCTCTCTAATTGAAGAAAGTGTTTTAGTGAATTGAAAGACAGGAGGACGGGACGAGTGGGGCCATGCAGGGGGGAGGGGGGAGAGAGGGGGAGAATAGAGAGAAGAGAGGGACCCATTAGTTATGTAATATCACATTAAAACGTTACCTCTCTCCAATTCAACATTGCCCTACCGGTGTGTCTGTGTGTACGTGTGTATGTGTGTGTGCACATGTGTGTGTTTCTTCACTATTCCTCACGTGTCCACTACGGACCACGCACTAATGATAACACAAGCTTTCTCATGCAGTGCCCCTTATGTCATGCTCCATCTCATCAGTGTATGGTCACCTGCTGTCGCCATAGTAACCTGCACCTGCACCTCTATTGAAAAGGAAACACCTCCCTGCCTCACCTCCTAACCTCCCCTCATCTGTCTCAGGTTCATATGCTGTTGTTGACTAGCCTATAGAACTGGTGAATTAGCCTGTTAATTAGCTGTGGTTTCAGTCACTATTGGGTGAATGGTTTCTCTAACTAGCCTGTAGGTTTAGGTGTATATATGTATGATGCAGTCAGTGCACACATGATAAGCTGTGGTCTATTTATATTTCAAAGATTTGACCCTGATCTGTAGATTTTGCCCTCATGTTAAAAAATCAAAACCATACTCCATCCTTTTCCACTAAATATTCTACCCCTCTCTCTTTCCCTCTCCACAGACTCCTCCTTCCCCCCTCCCCCTTGTGTTCTATCTCCCTTCCTCTCCCTTTCACCCTATGCTCAGTTCGGTGTGTGTCTCCTCTTTCAAAGGACGCAAGGGTGGGAACAAGTCGCCCAACAAAGCATGTTACAGTGCAGACATGACTTGTCAGTCAGACAGCGAGAAAATCGTAATAAACTGCGGTGGGGTGCGACACGAGACTTACCGCAGCACCCTCAAGACGTTGCCCGGTACCCGCTTATCTTGGCTTACCGATCCGGACGCGTTTAGCAACTTCGACTACGACCCCAAAATCGACGAGTTCTTCTTCGACCGCCACCCCGGCACATTCACATTCATCCTCAACTACTACCGCACAGGCAAGCTTCACTGTCCCAACGATGTGTGCGGCCCACTGTTCGAGGAAGAACTCGCCTTCTGGGGCATCGACGAGACGGACGTGGAGGCGTGCTGCTGGATGAACTACCGTCAACACAGGGATGCCGAAGAGGCGCTGGACAGCTTCGAGCAGCCGGAGCCAGAGGAGCCGGAAGACGACCTGGAGCTGACTGCGGACGGAGAGCTCAAGAGGCTGTGCCTGCATGAAGACGGGCGCAAGAGGAGTTGGTGGAGTGTGTGGCAACCCTATTTCTGGAATCTTTTTGAGGATCCGTATTCTTCCAAGAATGCCAAGGTGAGTCCTCCCTCCAACACGATACATAGGTTACATGCTGTTGCGATGCTTGTATTGCGCGCGCTCTCTCGTTGTGACATTTCCTCTTGAAAAAATGTTGCCGTCCCACAAAAGTCTATTGCTGGTGCACTGGAATGTTAAACTGGATTTAGAAGAGGGAGATCACGCATAGCCTACTGCTTATTTAGTCTATGTATTGAATATCCCTGACGTATTTTATAATGGACGTCATGTGTACAGACTGCAGTCTATGAAAGTTGGCTGCTATGTCCAAAGTTAATACGATGATGAGGGAGGGTGTGTTGGAATTGTGTTCTTGTCAGAATGATGGTGATGTTCGCTTTGATAGTCAAGGAAAATTAGTTGGAAAAACAGTGACTGTCATAAACATCGGTTAGGGATTTCCAAAAAGCAGCAAACTCAGACTAGTGCTGGTGTGCCTACAAATGATGTTGCCGATTGGAAATGGACTGTTGTGGCCTATGGTGTGTTATTTTCTCTAATTTTCTAAATGATTTAATTTAGCACCACAGCACGCTATTAAAGTTGTGTGGGGAGACCCTCTCCCATGTACCTCGTTCCCTCTCACGCAGTCACTTGGTCGGTCCTCTATCCCTATACGCTTCTCTCCTCGTCCCTCTCTCCTTCTCCATTTTTACGCATTATTTCCCCGTTACCACTGCGTCTCGAGCGTACTGCACCCCCCCCCCCCACCCACCCACCCACACACAAGCTTTCCCACGCTTGATTAAACTGTATTTCTTTGTGGACCTCTAGCGCCCGACTTCGTCGTTGTCATCGAGCGCATCATTCAATCTCGATTAGCACAATATCTCTCCTCGCTCACTCTTGTCTTCCACACTGTCCACTCCCCAGTTGCGCATCTCTCTCTGTCTCCTTGCCTTTCACTCTCTCCATCCCACTTTCAACCCTCTCTTTACCTCCTCTCCATTTATCTCTTCACACCAATAACCTTTTGGTTTTAACAAGCCTTCTCATGCTGCTTCCCTCTCCAGTCTATAGGCTACCCGCGTTTTGCGCACCCTGGCAGTGATTTTGGCGCATTTTAAGCAGCTAGTTTTGTAAACTAGTCTAGTGTCCACTTATCTAACTCAAATAAGGTTAAAACCTAAATAAATGAATCGTTAATGAATGGAACCTTTGCCATGTTTGTGCCCTCCACAGAAATTACTTAATTAACTCACCACTTTTCATTCTAATCTAGACCTAAACCTTTGACCATGGTCTCCTGCTATTTGACCAACCTACCTGTCACCAACCTACCTGTTACCATTGCACCTGTCCTTCCCGCCAATCAACGTCTCCATCTCGTCTCCCACAGTCTCAATTTATACAAGTGAAGGGTTATTTCAGGTTTAGTTAGTTTAGGGTTTTGTTTCCAACCAACATTTTGAATGAATGCTTTGCTTGCCTCTATATGTTGACTGACCAATTTTTTTACAGTTGCCTATCAATTGCCTATCTCACTTTGCTTGTGGTGACATACACTAATGGAAAACTGTAAATGATACAGTAATTGTGTGTATTATCAACAGTAAAATACTTTGAAATGTTTTACTGCAGCATACTGTAAATTATGGTCATTGTGGGAAATTGTTGTGAGCGGGAAAAAATTGCTGTATTTCGAACGGTACTGTAATTCTAATATTTGTTTAGGCTATATTTGTTGCACCCGTGAGTGAGAATGCTGTACCGATTTCACTTGTATGTAGTTATAGTGCCCCATCAACTTAAAATGTATAGGGGAGTGGCAGCAAGTCTTAAACCTTAATGGTTAAGCATTTTGCCATGTCCTTTTGGTCTGTTTTGCCCTTTAGTCGCTGACAGTTTGGAAGCCTTTGTTAAGGCCTCTAGAAGTGCAAGTGATATAAGACACAAAATATTCATTAATATGCTGTAATGTTTGTAAACACTTTACCTAGCAGCCAAACTGCTTGCACCAATCCCTTGTAATTACAGTAAAATACTGTGAAATACAAACTCCTAAACTAATTTAATTCATTCATTCATTTATTCACTCAGATTACGGTAGCATTACCTTTTTAAAAGTATAAACAGTCAATTTTACGGTATTGTACTGTGTGTCATTACGCAGTACTTGCTTTGATACTGTGTACTGTAATATGAAATACAGAATTTTACTTGCCACTGAGCTGCCTGTAAGCTACTAACAAATTCACAGTAACCCCTTTACAGTGTAGGCCTAGTCAGCCATGTGGGTGACATACAGTAGGCCTATGTCACATGTGGCCCTGTAGATATGAAGCCCCAGCGGTTGGTTATTCCCCTTCTATAAACATTAATCTCTTCAACATGACAAACCAAATAGCCCATTATCTTCAGTGTGGTGGCCTTTTTATGTAAGGGACATCAACAGGCCTGCACCTGTGACAAATGAACAAAGACACTTCTGTATGAGTATTCAGTTAGGACTACGCATCTGCGGAGATGAGAGAGCATTCATAACCAGGAACTGTTGGCTGAAATGTGTTGACTTTTGAGGATATGCAGGCCAGGCCAGGCCTGTAACCTTACCTGTTACAACGGCTCACTTGTGGACACCTGCACCCAAACACAAATTAACACCTTCACGCGGGTGACACTGAATGCATGTGGTACCCTGGCAACAGGATACAGTGAGGGAAAAAAGTATTTGATCCCCTGCTGATTTTGTACGTTTGCCCACTGACAAAGACATGCTCAGTCTATAATTTTAATGGTAGGTTTATTTGAACAGTGAGAGACAGAAATGTTATAAATTGCGACCCATTTTGAATGCCCTGGCTGAGGGAAGGAGGTTCTCACCCAAGATTTGACGGTACATGGCCCCGTCCATCGTCCCTTTGATGCGGTGAAGTTGTCCTGTCCCCTTAGAAGAAAAACACCCCCAAAGCATTATGTTTCCACCTCCATGTTTGACGGTGGGGATGATGTTCTTGGGGTCATAGGCAGCATTCCTCCTCCTCCAAACACGGCGAGTTGAGTTGATGCCAAAGAGCTCCATTTTGGTCTCATCTGACCACAACACTTTCACCCAGTTCTCCTCTGAATCATTCAGATGTTCATTGGCAAACTTCAGACGGCCCTGTATATGTGCTTTCTTGAGCAGGGGGACCTTGCGGGCGCTGCAGGATTTCAGTCCTTCACGGCGTAGTGTGTTACCAATTGTTTTCTTGGTGACTATGGTCCCAGCTGCCTTGAGATCATTGACAAGATCCTCCCGTGTAGTTCTGGGCTGATTCCTCACCATTCTCATGATCATTGCAACTCCACAAGGTGAGATCTTGCATGGAGCCCCAGGCCGAGGGAGATTTACAGTTATTTTGTGTTTCTTCCATTTGCGAATAAGCTCACCAACTGTTGTCACCTTCTCACCAAGCTGCTTGGCGGTCTTGTAGCCCATTCCAGCCTTGTGTAGGTCTACAATCTTGTCCCTGACATCCTTGGAGAGCTCTTTAATCTTGGCCATGGTGGAGAGTTTGGAATCTGATTGATTGATTGCTTCTGTGGACAGGTGTCTTTTATACAGGTAACAAACTGAGATTAGGAGCACTCCCTTTAAGAGTGTGCTCCTAATCTCAGCTCGTTACCTGTATAAAAGACACATGGGAGCCAGAAATCCTTCTGATTGAGAGGGGGTCAAATACGTATTTCCCTCATTAAAATGCAAATCAATTTATAACATTTTTGACATGTGTTTTTATGGATTCTGTCTCTCACTGTTCATATAAACCTACCATTAAAATTATAGACTGATCATTTCTTTGTCAGTGGGCAAACGTACAAAATCAGCAGGGGATCAAATACCTTTTTCCCTCACTGTATATGCTATGCTGTATTCTGGCCCAGGCTACAGTAGGCTATCACAGGTAAAGGTTTGACATAGAAATATAATTAGTAGAACCAAGGCGTTCTATAGAGAACACAAAGACCTATTTAAGGTGTAAGGTAAGGTGTCAAGAGAAGGCAACTAAGGAATTCCGCTCTTGATTAAAAATGGGATAATCATCAATGGTCTGTATAGGGCTGATTGCTTCAGTTTAAGCCTGAGATCTTCGTACATGGAGTGACACTAGAATATTCACTGGCACACAACAGGAGTAATTTATATCAAAAGTCGTCCTGCGGGCGGCTAAAACTCCTTGTCCTTCTAAACACATGTCCTTGGTAGAATGGACATTCTATCTATGCAATGTGGTGGGTTTTTAGAGCTGTGTATCTGTTCTTCTAAGTCTAACTCTATGAGATTAACTCACCTGATGTTGTGGCCCTCTACCTGACCTCCAAGGATGCTGTCTTCATGGGAACACAATACTGCAGGCTTTTGTTTCCTGGGGGTTTGTGTTAGAGGGCGCAACGGCCTCATAATCAAAGTCTACGTCCTAAAAGGCACATTATTCCCTATAATAGTGCACTGCTTTTGACCAGAGTCCTATTTGTTTGGTCAAAAGTAGTGCACTATAGGGAATAGGATGCCATTTGGGACATGGCCAGTGTGACAGCTCCAGGTATAGAAGTTGCCCTCAGAAGCAGATCTAGGATCAGTTTACTCTCCTCCAATGCTAACCTAACCCAATAGGAGGAGGGAATGCAAATCTAACCTTAGATCAGTGTATAGGGCCAATGTCACCCTACCCCAGAGAGAAATTACAGCTAGGTCTCTTCCCAGGCTTACTCAGCAGGTAGTGTTGCCAAAATAACCCTCCTGGTTTGGGCGTTGAATTTTCCACATTTGGCGTTTATCCCCTCAGACTATAAAGTTAAGTTATTTCAGCTGAATTTTCGAATGCTTGAATGAAATTAATAAATGCAATTGATGTAAGTAGCCTAATGTCAAATTACTTTTATAATCACTTAAAATTAGTTTGGTTTTGTCATTGAAGCCAGGAGAGGGAAAACACTGGATAGACCTATTGCTGCTCAGTACCCCTCTGCTCTATCATCTAAACAACTATCGGGGGCTACTCATAGAAGTATGTACATCATTGGGGCTAGTACTACTACTTTCACAGATGAGGGAGTTTACAGTGTGATGTGCATGGAGAAAATGGCTGGTAAGCTGAAATAACCACTCCATGATTGAGCTTGCATGGTCCTGTCCTGTAGGCTACAATGCTATAGGCCTACTGTGGGCTGATCCAAAACAAGCTGATGCTTCTGAATGGACTTTTGCTTTGCACTGCGTGGTTGATTAGTAACATAGTAAAAAACAGGGGTAAGGTTTCTTGCTCTATAACCAGTGGTTTAAAGTAACTAAGTAAACATACTTTGAAGTATCTGTACTTTACTATTTATATTTTTGACAACTTTTACTTTTACTCCCATTACATTCCTAAAGAAAAAAATTATATTTTTACTCCCATACATTTTCCCTGACATCCAAAGTACTTGTTACATTTCGAATGCTCAGGCAGATCAGCAATATGGTCAAATTCACACACCCATCAATATAACACATTGTCATCCCTACTGCCTCTGATCTGGTGGACTAACTAAACACAAATACTGCATTTGTAAATGATGTCTGAGTGTTGGAGTGTGCCCCTGGCTGTCCGTAAATAAAAAATAAGAAAATCGTGCCATCTGGTTTGCTTATTAATGTAAGGAATTTGATGTATAGCATTTACTTGTGCTTTTTACTTTTACTCAAGTATGACAATTGAGTACTCTTTCCACCACTGTACTTAAGTACATTTAAAACCAGATACTTTTAGACTTTTACTCAAGTAGTATTTTACTGGATGACTTTCACATTTACTTGAATCATTTTCTATTAAGGTATCTTTACTTTTACTCAATGAAAATATGAAAATCAAGTGCTTTCCCCACCGCTGTTTATAACAAAACAGAAGTAAACCAATCACAGATGAGCTTGTGTTGTTTGGGATGGTCACATTTTGAACATCATATTGCAAGACATTGTGAAGAGAATAAAGGGGGTTATCCCAAGTGGGACGTGACACCTGTGCCAATATGATGAATCCACTCGGTAGAGGCTGTACTAAATGTAACTATAGCAGGGTCGCTACCACAATAGTCCTGTTCTCTCCTTCTCTCTCTCGCCCCTCCTCATGCTTAGTTGTCTCTAAAGATCCATATCCATTTACTGAGACAAAGCTGTGCCGTGTCCCAGATTATTGTGTGTTAAGAGTATTTTCTGTCAACTGGACACATCAAGACAGTGTATTGACTGGGCTGCGCCTGCATGCCTGGTCCCTGGTTTGGCCTGTATGAAGAGACTGCATGCAGGGGGAAAAACATTAAAAACCGTTCATAGCCCTAAATATCTCAGATAAACCACCCACTTGGTCCTCCTGCCATCATTCAGTGACTGGATGTTGTAGATGCTTGTGTTGCTGTCTCTTGCAGGCTTCCTTTGTAACAGAGATGTTAACAGAGCCGGGAATTAATGACTGAAGAATGAAAGCATGGTGAATCCTTGGTTTTAAGTGGAGTGAAATCTAGCTGAATGGCATAGTTTGCTGGCCTATAAGTTAGTGAGGGCACAAGTGACCTTGCCTGCCAGGTTCCTAAACAGATGCATTTGCTGTTGATAAGATCGCTAGCAGCATGTCGCCTAATATATTTATTTTACTTGTATTATATAAGCCTAAATCATAATCATGTTGCAGGGCATGTTTCTCTCTTTCTGACATGACTGGATTTATTCCCGCTACACAACAAATATTAATCTACTATTTATCCATCGCTATTAGTAAATAGTCTGGGAGCCTATGACAGTATTAGTAGGCTACAGTGATATTGTGCGATAGGAGCTCGACATAATAACCTGTTTAATCTCAGAGCCTATAGCATGTATTTATCATATATTGATAAACTAAATATTGAACAACAATTCTTATTTTGTGTGGGCTGTAGGCAGCATTTACTTTTAAATTGTTCAATAGACAATCAATCTTGCAGAATGCGCAACCAGTGTTTGGCACTTGCTATAGGCGGCATGCGTTTTTTGTTTGAAAAAGTCACTGCAAAAGATTAAAACATTCTGCCCACAACCCTACATAAATTGCCATTGGCTTTAGAAACTATCATGGCCCAGTTCCAACATCTCCTAATCACACAGCAAATGAGGGTGTTTTTGTTACCATAAAAGGTGAATGAAGGGCGCTTTCCAGCTGGGGTTGTAGCGCTTGTTTTTACATTTACATTTTAGTCATTTAGCAGACGCTCTTATCCAGAGCGACTTACAGTTAGTGAGTGCATACATTATATTTTTTTCATACTGGCCCCCCGTGGGAATCGAACCCACAACCCTGGCGTTGCAAACGCCGTGCTCTACTAACATCCCTGCCGGCCATTCCCTCCCCTACCCTGGACGACGCTGGGCCAATTGTGCGCCGCCCCATGGGTCTCCCGGTCGCGGCCGGCTACGACAGAGCCTGGATTCGAACCAGGATCTCTAGTGGCACAGCTAGCACTGCGATGCACAGTGCCTTAGACCATGAACGCACAAATATAGTATGGCTCTGATTTATATGTCTGTATGCGTATATGTTTGATAAATCCCAATAATTTGTTGCACATGCAAATTGATTGATAATTGAGACCCCTGACCTGTTTGTAACATAATACATGCTGGGGTCCTGTACGGCTCAGTTGGTAGAGCATGGCGCGTGCAACGCCAGGATTGGGGTTTTAAATCCCGGCGCCACCCATGCGTAAAATGTGTGCGCACATGACTGTAAATCGCTTTGGATAAAAACGTCTTTAATATATTATGAAATAATGGAATATGGTGTTGCACGGAGAGGAAAAAAGGACTATAACACAGCATCGATTAGGCTACATAATTGACAACTGAGTCCCCCCTGATAGTGAGAAACAGCATCTCAGTTGGTGGTGGTTTATTCTTCGCACGGTGGGTGAATGTCGTCATCGCTCTGCGGTGCGGACAGTGTATCCCTCAACTCTTTATCATATATGACAAACGACTTGTTTTATTATCACGGATGCAGGGGTGTGCACTGGTTGCTTATTATCACCTTCTAGCCCACTCCCACCCCCCCTCCCCCCCCCCCCCCCCCCCCCCCCTCTCCCTCTCTCCTACTCTCTCTCTCGTTGTGCTATAGCGTAGCACTGCGGTGCGGATACTAGCTGACTGCGCGCCGATTTCTGCTGCAGCGCAGCACACGAAGCAGCGGTGGAAAAGGAGAGAAAAAGGGAAAGAGAGAAGAGGAGAGGGGGAGGCGGAGAGATCGGGGGCTGTTTGTGCTAGCCTTTTTAAGACTTCGATCGAGAATAAAAGCACTACAACTATTTTTTTTTGCTTTGCAAGCTTGGATGTGCGTATCCGCTTATTGATTAATCCATATGTCTCCGTCTGCACCATTCACGTGGCTGTCTCCACCAAATGGTGTTCTTTGTAAAGCGAAGCCCCCACTTTACGCATCGAGTTGCGCTGGCTTTCCAAACCCCCCCCCCCCCCCCCCCCAAACAACACACACAGACACTGAGTGGGGGGAGGGGTGTAATGCGGGTAGGCGATAGCCGAGTGCCTGCTGTTAGTGGCACTACCTGTCAAGCTCTAGAATGGCTGACTAGTCTCCTTTTTCACATCATGCCGGTAAAGGTTATGTTTTTGTCATTTCTGACCTCCTTTCGTGTACTACGCTTGCGCTGTTTGGTCAGTTTTAATTATTCTGCCATATATTGTGTGTCTGTGTGTGTGTGTGTGCAGACGGACGGGCGCTCAATATCACACCTCTAGAGAATATCTGGGTGTCTTTTTGGACAGTAAGCTTCAGTGGAGTAAATGTACAGACCAGATCTACAAAAAGAGCCAACAGAGACTGTACTTTCTAAAAAAGTTGGGTTCTTTTAATATAGACTGTACTATATTGACTCTGTTTTACAAATCCTTTATTGAGAGTATTTTAACTTTTTGTATTGTTTGTTGGTTTGGCAATGCCACTGTCAGTCAGAGAAACATGCTGAGAAGGATTATTACCACAGCAAGTAAGGTACTTGGAGTCAAACAGACAGGCCTGGATGAGATCTTTAAGGTCAGGGCCCTCCGTAAGGCTCACAAAATCATTTTAGACCCAAGTCACCCCCTGTACCTGGACTTTGAATTACTCCCCTCTGGGCGTAGGTATAGGGCACCCCTCAGCAGGAAAAATAGAACGAGACAATCATTTGTGCCAGGTGTGATATCCCTCTTAAATAGCTCGGGCAAATGTTCCCATTGACCCCGTAAGGCCAGCAGGCTAGTCTTTGTTTTAAATGTTTTAAATGTTTTATTTCTTATTTCTTACTTTTATTGGTGCGTGACTGTTATTGAAAGTTGTATTGTCAATCTTGTTTTGTATTTAACGCCACTTTAAATGTGTACATGACACTGCAACAAAATTTCCCCATGGGGACAATAAAGTAAGTAAGTAAGTAAGAATAGTTATTGTAGCCAAGCCATTTAGGTGTGAGGCCCACCTAGTCGAATCGAACATTGCCTAAGGTGCAATGAATTGACAAGTAATATATTTCACACACATAATAAACCTCTCCGTCAATCTCTGTGCACCACGTCGATAACGTGATGATTTCTGTAAACCCTCTCAGTGTGTTCACAATCTTGAAATCCCTCGTGGCACTTTCCAGACAAAAACAGATTTGGTGTGTGTGCATGTATATGTGTGTGTGTGTGTGTGTGTGTGTGTGTGTGTGTGTGTGTGTGTGTGCGCGTGCGCACTGCAGAGAAGAGGTGTGTGAGAGGAAGGGGACTCATGAAATTATGATGACGGTAATGCTGCAGAGCTCCGTATAGGGGAGGGAGAATGAGAGAGAGAGGGGGATGAGAGTGGAGAGAGGCTGGCGGGAAGGAGGAAGAGAGAGAGAGAGTTGCGGCAGAGCAAGAAGGAAGAGGAGGAGGAGGAGGTGGCGAGGGGCCGTTGCTGCCTGGGAATGAAAGAGGGAGGATTTGAGAGAGGAATGAAGGAGAGAGCAGCAATGGAGGGACGATCCTGGGCTTAGCAGTATCAAAGCACCTCAGGCAATGGACTGCTGGGGGAAACAGCCTACATGTGCAGAATAAAGGCGAATGGACAGACAGGAATACAAGACAGGACAGAACAAAGTAGAGAGAGAGAAAGAAGAGAGAGAGATTTGCAAAGAGGGATGTAAAGAGACATATAGCAAAGTTCTGCATTTTAACCAAATCTCTCTCTCTCTCTCACACTCACACTCACACACACACACACACACACACACACACACACACACACACACACACACACACACACACACACACACACACACACACACACACACATTTTAACCAAATCTCTCTCTCTCTCTCTCTCACACTCACACACACACACACACACACACACACACACACACACACACACACACACACACACACACACACACACACACACACACACACACACACACAGTCACTCACTCACTCACTCACTCACTCACTCACTCACTCACTCACTCACTCACTCACTCACTCACTCACTCACTCACTCACACACACACACACACACACACACACACACACACACACACACACACACACACACACACACACACACACACACACACACACACACACACACACACACACACACACACACACACACACACACACACACACACAGTCTGTGAAGCCAGGGTACATTTACCAGCCAACCCAGTCAATCTCCGGGTGGCCCTGTCTCTGACGGTTTGGACACAGTTGGCCCGTGTGTGTGTTGTATTTAATGATGGAGAAGATTCCAGTGTGTCTTTGTGGAATAGCGGCTGCTCCGCTCTCTGCTGACTGTTCCTGTACAAATACAGACGCAATGACTCAGTGCCCAGAGCCTGTGTGTGTTTATTCTCTAGGACAAGTATGCTTTTCTCCCATGCAGTGTGGGTGCTTTACTACAGAACATATGTGTGTGGAGTGGTTGATAAAGTGTTGGAGATAAACAAGGTGGAGGGGGAGGGAGAGAGCGAGAGAGAGAGGAAGTGAGATAGAGAAGGAGAGCGAGGGAGAGAGGTACAATGAGGGAGAAAATGGTAAAAGAATGAGTGATATGAGGGCACAGAGAGAGAAGAGAGACTGACAGAGGGAAATAAGGAGGGAGGGAGAGCAGGAGAGGAGAGGAACATTTGCAAGGACAAACATGCATAGTGCACTGCAGTGATCAGGATTGAATACTAAGCAGAAAAAAATGCAATGCCTTCTCTTTATCTGGTTTCACCTCAATGGACAGGGTGTGTGTGTGTGTGCCTGCCAGAGAGGGAGTGTGTGTGTGGGTGTCTGTGTCTGTTTGCATGTGTGTGTGCAAGAGTAAGGACCAGTTGATGTGTGTGTGTGTTTGCGTGTGTGTTCTTACGTGTGTGTATTCCTGCATGTTTATGGCTTCCTATTGCACTTACTGTACTTTCCACAGTCTAATGCACGGGAATACAATGTACACGATAAGCACTCTCCAAGATTTAGGGGTTAGTGCTTTACTTACCTGAAGCTAACATTACCCTCTATACTTCACTGTTCTTCAAGAGTTAGTGCTCTACCTACCTGAAGCTAACATTACTTCACTGTTCCACTTTCCTTTCAATAGAATTCCTATGGTGTTCCCATCCCTCCATCCTTCCAACCCTCCATCTGTAAGATGTCCTATTTTCCACAATTATTCCCAAGGCTGCTGGGCGTTTTCTGTTCCCAGTCCCACATGGGAGCATCTCCCTCCTCTTTCTGTCCTTCTTTCTATTCATTTGTCTCTTCTTCTTCTTCTTCTTCTTCTTCTTCTTCTCTTCTTCTTCTTCTTCTTCTTCTTCTTCTTCTTCTTCTTCTTCTTCTTCTTCTTCTTCTTCTTCTTCTTCTTCCTCCTCGTCGTCCTCCTGCCTTTTCTTCTTAAACTATCTTTCTTTCTGTCTGTCTTCATCTCTCTATCTGTCACCTAGACTCTCTTTCCCAGTGGAAACGCATGTCCACTTCTAAGGGCTCTTAATGTTCCCTCCTTAGGGAAGATAGGAAGTAATGTCTACTCTGGTGCTAAGATGTCTCCACTGACTTCTCTTCAGGAATGAAGTCCGTTTAGGACACAGGGACACGCAGACCTAACGGGATATGTGAGAGTTCATTCCACTCTTTGGTAGCATCAATGCACACTCCTAAGGGCATGGGGATGTTCCCTCCCTATGTAGGGTACACTTTAGTCCCAGGTTTGTGAGGACTGAGCAGTAGTGTCATTACTGTTGAATGAGCTGGTTATATAAATGGCCTGGATGCGTGGGACTGTCTCAACATCTATATGTCTCAATGGGTATGGGCAAAATACAGTATATGGATCAGAGAGAGGGAGGGAGGGAGGGAGAAAGAGAATGGGGGGAGAGAGAGGGGGTGGGGGAGAGAAGAGAGAGGGGGAAAGAAGAGAGAGGCAGGAGGGAGAGAGAGAGGTAGAAAAGAGAGAGGGGGATAGAAGAGAGAGCTGGAAGAGAGAGAGAGAGTGGAAAGAGGGTTTGCTTGTCATTAGGGATGGTTCGAAATTTACAGAATGGGGACCAGGAGGGAAATGGGGGAGGGTCATGCTTTTTCAATTTCAGTCATGGGGTGGGTTTAGTATTTTTTTAATCTAGTCCAGGGGAGAGTCATGTAATTTGTAATTGATGCAAGTTCAATATTTCTCAGTGTTTTAGAATTAGTTGCTTATTAGGCTATATATCGATGTATGCCTGATGCTGCCCCTCATCTCTGATTCTCCACTGGGCGGCAATGTAAAGTGTACCTATAGGCTATTTAGTGTGGTCTCAATCAAATGGGATAGGCTATAGAAGCACAGAGCAAAGTTATAATTCTATGAAAATTAACTTCCTTATTTTGAGCGCTGCTATGATCTTGCTGATCAAAACCTTTTTTGTGCTGCCTAACCAATAGCTGTGCTGTGTAGCTCTACGTTGGCAGTTCAGGAAGAGAGTCAAAGGCTTCTTCCGAAATTGTATTTTATTTATAGTCCCCAAAAATTCTATATCGTGGGTGCGGACTAGTTTAGTTTGAGAGGGTGAGAAGGAGGACCGGAAGTCAACTTTGATAGCTCGCTACTACTATAATTGATTTTAATACAAACAATATGTTTCTTGGCCATGATGGAACTATACTGAACAAAAATATAAACGCAACATGCAACAATTTCAAAGATTTTACTGAGTTACAGTTCATATAAGGAAATCAGTCAATTGAATTAAATTCATTAGGCCCTAATCTATGGATTTCCCATGACTGGGAATACAGATATGCATCTGTTGGTCACAGAAACTTTAGAAAAGGAAGTAGGGGCGTGGATCAGAAAACCAGTCAGTATCTGGTGTGACCACCATTTTCCTCATGCAGCGCGACACATCTCCTTCGCATAGAGTTGATCAGGCTGTTGATTGTGGCCTGTGGAAATGTTGTCCCACTCCTCTTCAATGGCTGTGTGAAGTTGCTGGATATTGGCGGGAACTGGAACATGCCGTCGTACACGTCGATCCAGAGCATCCCAAACATGCTCAATGGCTGACATGTCTGTTGAGTATGCAGGCCATGAAAGAACTGGGACATTTTCAGCTTCCAGGAATTGTGTACAGATCCTTGTGACATGGGGCCGTGCATTATCATGCTGAAACATGAGGTGATGGCGGCGGAAGAATGGTATGACAATGGGCCTCAGTATCTCGTTACGGTATCTCTGTGCATTCAAATTGCCATTGATAAAATGCAATTGTGTTCATTGTCCGTAGCTTATGCCTGTCCATACCATAACACCACGCCACCATGGTGCAATCTGTTCACAACGTTGACATCAGCAAACCGCTCGCCCAAACAACGCCATACATGTGGTCTACGGTTGTGAGGCCGATTGGACGTACTACCAAATTCTCTAAAATGACGTTGGAGGCGGCTTATGGTAGAGAAATTATCATTAAATTCTCTGGCAACAGCTCTGGTGGACATTCCTGCAGTCAGCATGCCAATTGCATGCACCATAAAAACTTGAGACATCTGTGACATTGTGTTGTGAGTGGCCTTTTATTGGCCCCAGCACAAGGCTGGGGACAATAAGGCTCACCTGTGTAATGATCATGCTGTTTAATCAGCTTCTTGATATGCCACATCTGTCAGGTGGATGGATTATCTTGGCAAAGGAGAAATGCTCACTAACATGGATGTAAACAAATGTGTGCACAAAATCTGAGCTAAATAAGCTTTTTGTGCATATGGAACATTTTGGGGATATTTTATTTCAGCTCATGAAACATGGGACAAAACACTTTAGATGTTGCGTTTATATTTTTGTTTAGTGTATTTATCAGAGATATTGACCTCGCGATAAGCCAGAATTGAGTAACATGCATTGTGGTGCTGAAACATGAAGCAGTATCCGCGGCACAATCAATTGGACAGCTCATGGTGCTGCAACATGCAATCTAAATAGCCTACCTCCGTGTCAGTGAAGTTAAAACCAAGACTCGAATTGAGGGGGTATGAGAGTGTATGTGTGTGCAATAAGCCTACCCTTTGTTAAAGAAAATGGCAAAAAACATAGGCCCACACCTTGTTAGCTTAAAGGGATACTTCAAGATTTTGGCAATATGGCCCATTATCTACTTCCCCAGAGTCAGATGAACTCGTGCATACCATGTTTATGTATCTGTGTCCAGTATGAAGGAAGTTAAAGGTAGTTTCACCAGCCAACGCTAGCGCTATTTAGTAACTTTCTTCAAACTGCAGGCAGAGACATAAAAATGGTATCCACAAGTTCATCTGATTCTGGGGAAGTAGATAAAGGGCCATATTCCCAAAATCCCAAAGTATCCCTTTAAGATTTTGAAGAAAATAAAACGGATCCGATTATATAATCTATTACAGTGCTTTGGTCCTCGATGCTTTATGCTAGAAACAAGCTGTAAAAAACCTGGGAAAGGCGTGACTCTGATTGCATATGGGGATATATTTCTTTAATTTCTATGACAATCATTGGCTGAGCTACAACCTTCTATAGCCGAGGAGCCAAAAAATTGACTTTGCTTGGGAAGTAATCTAATTCTGTCACTATCAATTGATTGAGCTATTCACTTTCTGGATGTTTAAACCCAGCTTTTAGGGAAACACTTGTGACCTTCTCTCGTTGGGTTAAGCCATGTAAGAAGAGTAGCCAGCAGTTAAAGCTGACAGTTTTCTGCGTCTGTAGGCCTGCTCTGTCTGAGGTGGAAAGGTAGGCCTAACTTTTGAAAGTACCCTGCTCAGATTCATAATGAAGTCTCCGATTTATTTATTTGCAAACAGGGACAGTTTCGTTGCAAACAAGACACACAGATTTGGCATTGGAGAAATATGATGAGATGAACACATAGCCCTATCTCTCTGTCCATTCTTAGCCTGTCATTTTGGTAATTTGTGTGGTATTCAAAAATATTCTGCTAATGTCTCCAGTCATGTAAAATGATGTAGAACTGCATGAAATGTTTATAAAAGGCTTATTTTTCTCAGACCTGCAAATACGATGATAGATTAATGCAATGCTTTTACTATAAAGGAGATCTTTCCACCCCTACTCTTGTCTACGGAGGTTTGCAAACCCACAGCCTTCTGGGCCGCAGCCCTGTGCTATCAAAATGTCTGCATTGCCATGTAATGCTTACAGGATGAAGAACCATTTCTAAAACTGCATATCTAAGTCTCTGGTCCGTGAGGGTAAACGGTAGACATGTTCTCTGCTATCCACTTTGTTTTAATTATTATTTTGGGTATAGGGGAGGATCACTTGTTTCTTTTCAAACGTTCAAGGAGGGGTGGTTTAGTTAAAATATATTTTGCTGAAGGGAGAGCCATCCATTTTTATTTCAGAGAGGCTTGATTTAGTAGAGATAGGTTATACAATTTGCCACTAAGTAATGTTTTTATATAAACTCCTGTATATTTTTCCTGGTCCAGTCACATGGTCAGAAGAGATATATTACTGGCTATAACTGTCCGGGCTCAGAGTTTTCCCTGGCCCTAGACTCTAAAGTTCTGGCCATAGCCTCATTTGATCCATACACCCATCCATCCAACCCCTCCCCCACTCTCTCTCTGGCCCAGGATAGGGACCAGCTGCTGGGCCGCTGGGGTTCTCCAGGCCCCTGGCCCCTGTGGCGCCAACACTCTGTAGCTCTGGCCAGTTCCCACTCCCTCTGGTTTGCTGCCAGGGATGGAGAGAGACAGAGACAGAGACAGAGACAGAGAGAGAGAGAGAGAGAGAGAGAGAGAGAGAGAGAGAGAGAGAGAGAGAGAGAGAGAGAGCGAGAGAGAGAGAGAGAAGAGTGAGGGGGGAGCAAGAGAGAATGAGAGAAGCATGGAAAGAGTGAAATACAGAGAGACAGAATGAGAGAGCGAGAGAGAGAGTGTGTGGGAGAGATCTTTTTTATTTATTTAACTAGCTTTTATTGGCACTATTCAAATCACACGGGAAACGGAATGAGCAAGAAGCTGAGAGAGAGTAAAATGGGAGAATAAGAGAGGGAATGAGACAGACAGATAAATAGAGAGATAGAGAGAGACAGAGAGACAGAGAAATAGAAAGAAAGCGAGAGAGATAAATATATAGTCAGAGAGAGAGAGAGAGAAAAATAGAGAGACAGGGAGGGACAGAGAGCTGGCTGGTATGGTGCACAGAATGTCCTGTCCTAACCTCCTCCCTCCTCCAGATGGCTCTGATGCTGCTACTGATGATGGTGTGACTGGTCCCTGCGTCTACCGCTTCCTCTCTCTCTCTCTCTCTCTCTCTCTCTCTCTCTCTCTCTCTCTCTCTCTCTCTCTTCTTTTCTCTCTCTATTTTATTTTCTTTCAATCTCTCTCTTTCTATCTCTCTTGCTCGATCTTACCCTGCTCTCTCTTTTGCTCTCTCTCTCTCTTTCTCTCAATCAAATTCAAATTTAAAGGGCTTTATTGGCATGGGAAACATATGTTTACATTACCAAAGCAAGTGAAAGATAATAAACTTCCTCCTGTTCCTTTCACACACTGATGCTATTCACATTATCCCCCCCTCTCGCTCTTTCCTCTTTCTCTCACACACTCTGGCTCTCGTTCCTCGCTCCCCCCCTCTTGCAGGGTCTTTGTATTTAACACACCATCTCTATGCTTTAGTGGGATTCTCTCTCACGTAAACACACTCAAACACACACTTCTCTGCTTGGTGTGGTGCATTCAAACACACACACACACACACACACACACACTGACTGACTGATTGCTGATCAATAGAGAATGGCTTGATGATCTCATCCACATTAAAGTGTCAATAAGAGAGAGGTGGCCGGAGCCTTGCTGTCAATCATCTCAGTACCTGCTCACCGGTCACATCCCACACTAACACAGCCTCTCCCACCACATATGCCTGTACCTCACAGTAGGTGGGTCACAGTAGGTGGAAGTTACCCAGGGTCAGATTTTCTTACATCTCTCTTGTGGTTGGGATTAGAGTTAGTGGTCAGAAAATCTGATCCTAGATCTGTGTTTGTTTGTTAGATTAACTTAGAATCCAATACTGTCCAAAATATATTGTTTTAAAACTACTACTACATGGATATCCCTCTACACATACTGGACACAGAGCTGTGTTGCTTTCGTATTATGATGGGCAAAATAAAGCAGATTATTTCATAGTGGTTGAAGCAGAACAGATGATGTCACAGGGGACTACAGCCCAACCCACAATGCATGGTTTACACCCCACACATGCCTCTCTCTCTCGCTCTCGCTCTCGCTCTGTTAGTACATAGCCCTTTGTACAGGGGCATTATTCGAGTTGTGACTGATACTGCTCCCTATGGTATTCTCCATTCATGCAGCTCTAAAGACCTTTAGCGAACTCTTTCTGGCAGCGCTTCCTTTTGGTTATGGCTGTGTTGTGTAGAAGCCCGGAGCAGCATTTGGCAGGTGGCTGTTCTTGCCGTTCAGAGCAGTAACAGTCATTGTATTAGGCCAACCTCTGCCTTGTACATAGCATTGCACCAATCTCTAACCACTAGCAGAGCTGGAGTGAGCACATTTTCATTCTCTCTCTCCTTTCCTTTTTGCCTCCTCTTCTCCGATCCACATCCTGCCTCTCTTCTCCTTTCATCTCCTTCTTTCCTTTTCTTCTCCCCCTCTTCCTCTGTTTTAGAATAGTTACTCTAATGTTCCTTTTGTTAGCCGCTATCAATATCCTCAGACACAACACACACACGCACGTTCACACATACGCACACATTATGCAGGTTTGCACCGTGGCTTGGGGGTGTTTGCACTTCTATGTACTGTAGCTACTGTACGGATGGATGCTCTCTGTGCTATAGCCCTGACTATGCCACTGCTTCTCTCTCTCTCTCATTTCCCTCTCCTGCCTCTCCTCCCTCCCTGTTCCACCTTGGGTATCCATTGGTCCGTGTCATTATGGTGCAGTAAAGAGAGAGAGAGAGAGATGGAGAGAGCGAGAGACGGGGGAGAGAGAGAGAGAGAGGCAAAGCGCTCAAGGCAATATATTAGCGTGAAGCTAGAGTGCTCCCCCTCCTCCTCCTGTCCCTCTCCCCCTCCCTCCCTCCCTCTCAATCTTTTAGAGATACAAACAAGCTTGCTTAGTAGATTAAATGAGCAGAAAATATGACTTTCCCCCCAATAAACCCTGTGTTTTCTGTTTTTGTCCTCTATGATCGATGGAATAGGATGCTTTTAGTTGATGGCTTTAATCTATTGATTAATAATTAAAGACTTCTCCACCACTCTTTGTTTTTCATCCAAATTATCCTATTGATTTTTGACGTGCTGATTCAGTGCAGCGATCCCGCTTACGCGCTGCTTATGGCCCAAAGCAATTAAAATTTGAGTGCTAGTGGTGGTTGTAGGTCTTTCTTCTGCTTTAATATTTACTTGTCCCTCTGAGGTTTTGAAGGATGGATGTGTAGCTAACAGAAAAAAAAAATCCTGATTTTGCGCTGTTGGAAGGGAACCCTTGTCATATGACTGGTGTGAATGTGGAAGTATAGACCGCTTCAGTGGTGGCTGGTGGCACTTTAAATCGCAGGATGGGCTCATATAATTTCTAGATTCCATGTGATTGATACCATTCCATTCATTCCATTCAAGCCATTACTATGAGCTGTCCTCCCCTCACCAGCCTCCATTTGACCATATAGGCCTATATAGGCTTGTCACGTTCGTTGAAGGACGGGTCAGACCAAGGCGCAGCGTGATATGCATACATGTTTATTTGGACCGAATAAACAACGACAAAACAACAAACTAACGAAACGTGAAGTCCTAAGGTAGACACCAACAACATACCTCACACGGAACAAGATCCCACAACTCAATAGTGCCCATAGGCTGCCTAAGTATGGTCCCCAATCAGAGACAACGAGCGACAGCTGCCTCTGATTGGGAACCACACAGGCCAACATAGAAATACACATACTAGAATATAAACATAGAAAATCACACCCTGACTCAACAAATAAGAGTCAGGGCGTGACAGTACCCCCCCCCCCCCCCCCCCCCCCCCCCCCCCCCCAAAGGTGCGGACTCCGACTGCACAACCTTTACTTAACAGGATAGGGGCCGGGTGGGCATTCCGCCTCGGAGGCGGATCCGGCTCCGGGCGTGACAACCACCTATTCTCCGCCTCCCTGTTGCGCCCATGGTCTGGTCTGGACCTCGGCGCGCTGCTTCCCCTCTCCTTCCTCCCACTATACTCCAAGCCCTGTCTGGACCCTGGTGTGGGAGACCCCGAACCTGGAGAGGGGCTGACGTCTGGGTCTGGACTGGAGCCGCTGACCGGAGCTGGACTCGGCACCGGTGGAGCGGACTGCTCTGGCTCCGGAGTGGAGCCGCTGACCGGATCTGGACTGGACCCCGGTGGAGCGGACTGCTCTGGCTCCGGAGTGGAGCCGCTGACCGGAGCTGGATCAGGCACCGGTGGAGCGGACTGCTCTGGCTCCGGAGTGGAACCGCTGACCGGAGCTGGACTTGACACCGGTGGAGTGGACTGCTCTGGCTCCGGAGTGGAGCAGCTGACCGGAGCTGGATCAGGCACCGGTGGAGCGGACTGCTCTGGCTCTGGACCAGGTATGGGGAGTTGGCTCTGCTCTAACACTAGGCTCCGCCAACCACCCTTTTAGCCCCCCCAAATTGTTTTCTTGGGGCTGTCTCTCGGTCTTCTTCCTCGACCGGCGTCCTCTGTGTTGCCGTTGCTCCTCTCCTGCCTGGGCATCTACCTTCGCCCATGGCCCTTTCCCCGCAAATATCTCCTCCCATGACCACCAATTGCCCACCTGTGACATGGCTACTCTCTCCGCCTGGGCACGCTGCTTGGTCCGTGTTTGGTGGGATCTTCTGTCTCGTTCGTTCATAGACGGGTCAGACCAAGGCGCAGCATGATATGCATACATATTTATTTGAACCGAATAAACAACGACAAAACAACAAACTAAACGAAACGTGAAGTCCAAGGTACACAAACAACATACCTCACACGGAACAAGATCCCACAACTCATTAGAGCCCATAGGCTGCCTAAGTATGGTCCCTAATCAGAGACAATGAGCGACAGCTGCCTCTGATTGGGAACCACACCGGCCAACATAGAAATACACATACTAGAATATAAACATAGATATACACCACATAGAAAATCACACCCTGACTCAACAAATAAGAGTCCCCTGAGTCAGGGCGTGACAAGGCTACTGTAGCGTAATGGCAGTTTTCCCTCCAATTGAGCTGTTATTTGCGAGCTCAGTGGAAGGTTTTGGAAGTCTGTTCAAAACCAGAGGTAAACTTCTCCCTGTCAGAAGCCTCTCTGTCAGGTAAAGGCCGAATGCAGCCGTTTTTATATCAAATCATTTCTGGGTAACAATTTAAGTATCTTACTGTAATAGATTGCCATAATTTAAGAAAAAAACTATTTCTCAAGCAAGAATTGTGCTAGGACTGTCTGGGAGTGGTCTGAGTAGGGAGGGGAAAACTGAAAACAAGCTGTTATTGGCAGAGAGGTTTGGAACTCTCTTTGTTATTGGTCTATTAACCAACTTACCACATGGTGATGTCACCATGGAAAGCCGAAACTCCCGCCCATGCAAACCTGCTGATTAGAAGGTCTTGTGTAGATTGTATTTTCAATCAGTAACTATCAGGAAATAACACTGATCAAATTTATTCAGACTTTTACAGTGTTAGTTTCATCAGCTGTTATCATGCAATATGATACGAAACACAGGAAAACTGAATTTTGTCTACACTGGGCCTTTAAAGGCCATCATCCTCTGTAGCTCAGCTGGTAGAGCACGGCGCTTGTAACGCCAAGGTAGTGGGTTCGATCCCCGGGACCACCCATACACAAAAATGTATGCACGCATGACTGTAAGTCGCTTTGGATAAAAGCGTCTGCTAAATGGCATATTATTATTATTATTATCATACTCAATGCTTTCTAACAATTACAATTCAGAAATTCAAATCTGCCCAGACTGCTGCTATTAGTTCTTCATTTGATCCCACCCTTGAGACGCCCATACTGGGAAGAGGCAATCACAGCACTCTTGTCTGTTTTGAATTGTATGACTTTAAATGTCTGTAAAAATGACCAAGGGCATTTTGATGGTATATAATAGTAGTAGTAGCATATAGTGGTAGTATACACTGAGTGTACAAAACATTAGGAACTGCTCTTTCTATGACATAGACTGACCAGGTGAAAGTTATGATACCTTATTGATGTCACTTGTTAAATCCACTTCAAATCAGTGTAGATGAAGGGGAGGAGACTGGTTAAAGAATGATTTTTAAGCCTTGAGATAGAGACATGGATTGTGTATGTGTGCCATTCAGAGGGTGAATGGGCAAGACAAAAGTTTTAAGTGCCCTTGAACGGGTATGTTTAGTAGGTGCCAGGCGCACCAGTTTGAGTGTGTCAAGAACTGCAACGCTGCTGGGTTTTTCACGCTCAACCGTTTCTCGTGTGTATCAAGAATGGTCCACCACTCAAAGGACATCCGGCCAACTTGACACAACTGTGGGAAGCATTGGAGTCAACATGGGCCAGCATCCCTGTGGAACGCTTTCAACACCTTGTAGAGTCCATGCTCCGAATAATTCAGGCTGTCGTGAGGGCAAAAGGGGGTGCAACTCAATATTAGGAAGGTGTTCCTAATGTTTGTACACTCGGTGTATAGTGCTAATAGTATATAGTAGTATTGACCAGGTTTGGGTTACAGTATATTACATCATACTTATAGCCTAAAATGATTCAGCAGAATATGAACTGTAGTGGGTCTAATGCACAGAATGTCAGTGTCCCCTCCCCAGTTCAAAAGGAGCTGATGTCATGACCGTGTCCTTACAGTGGGGTGAGGCTGACTGGAGCGTCATGGAGGTGACCTGACTACAAATAGCTTCTCTTAACATTTGTATCAGTTATTCCCCATGAGGTGTCAATAAATGCTGTGCCCTGTCTGGGCCTGGCTGTCCTCTGTCCTCTAGTCTATGCTCTATGTTTTATGCTTTGGCCTCAATTGCACACCGGCTGTTGGGTTGGGTCAAGGTGTGTGTGTTTTGTGTGTGTGCATTATGATTGGTTCGATTTTTGTCTGTTTTGTCTCTACACTCTTAGGAAAAAAAAGTGCTATCTAGAACTTAAAAGGGTTCTTTGGCTATCCCTATAGGAAAACCTTTTGAAGAACCCTTGTTGGTTCCAGGTAGAACCCTTTTGGTTCCAATTAGAACCGTTTTGGATTCCATTTAGAACCCTTTCCACAGAGGGTTCTACATGGAACCCAAAATGATTCTACCTGGAACCAAAAAGGGTTCTCCTATGGGGACAGGTGAAGAACCCTTTCGGAACCCTTTATTCTAAGAGTGTACTGCGTCTCTTCACATTACGACTTTCCGCGCTTGTGTGCATGTGTGTGTTTGTTTTACCCTGCCTCCACTTCTTGCTCATGAACTGTAGTTGCGTGTTATGTTGTCTATTCAGACAGGAGGAGGTGGTGCAGTGCATTAGTGTTTAGCAGGCTGGGTTGTTTTAGGTAGCAACTCTAGTCACTCTCTCTCTCTCTCTCTCTCTCTCTCTCTCTCTCTGACTCAGTGCTACCACTCTGGAGAGCCCCTCCACAGCTCTGGAGCTGTCTAAGGTCTGGGATATGAATAGAGCGCAGTGCTAATGCACGACACACTGAAAAAAGGGATGGCGAGAGAGAGAGAGAGAGAGAGAGAGAGAGAGAGAGAGAGAGAGAGAGAGAGAGAGAGAGAGAGAGAGAGAGAGAGAGAGAGAGAGAGACATGCCTCCTATGCACCCCACACTACAGTACCACCGTAGGAAAATGAGAGGACTAGTCCCGCAACACACAGATAGAGGGCAGTGTTTGTAAGTCTCTTGCTGTTTCTGTTCAATTATAAGAATAACTTCTGCACACGTGTTTAGATGTGCACATACACACACACACACACACACATCAGGCCCTCATTCCTCCTCCCTCTCCACACCTCTTCTCCCTGTATTCAGGCTCTGGGCTAGCCCATGTGTTGTATTGTACTGCAATATTTATATAACTGCAATATTAAGCCCATGTTCTTTCTTTGTTTACATAGAGAGCAAAGTTTTCTGCTCCTCTGTACCGCGGTGTACTGGAGTGTTAGTGACCAGTCAGCGGCTAGTCAAAACTCTTCATTTGGGACACTTCAGCCAACTACAATGACATGTAGTTTTGGAGGGGTTGGGATAAAGCAGAAGTCAAATTTCGGTTGGAACTTGTGTACAACTGACAAATAAAGTAATCATAAAGTACCAGTATAAATAGATAGCTAGATGGTCTCTAGAGCTGTTCACATTCAGTAAGTGATGAGTTTAGTTTAATGGAACACCCTTCTATATGACAGTGCACCCTAGATTACCAGCATTCACATGGTTAGGGTGCACTTAAACCCTGCGTCTCTCTTGCTACCTCTCTTGACTTTCTCTCTCTAGTCTAACCTGATCCCTCTCTCTCGCTCTCTCGCTCTCCCTCTCTCTCTCTCTCTCTCTCTCTCTCTCTCTCTCTCTCTCTCCCTCTCTTCTCTATCTCTCTCATCCTCTCTCTCTCTCTCTCTCCTCTCTCTCCTATCTCTCTCTCTCTCTCTCTCTCTCTCTATGTCTCGCTCTCGGTTTCCCTCCCCCGTCAGTGATGTTAGGTCAGTGCTGTGCTCTGCTGTGCTGTATGATCTGACTGTGATGACTTGTGAGCGGGGCTCGTCTCCATACAGCCTAATTGATGCTAATAGTCTGTTGTGATCTGCAGTCCCAAGCTCTCTTTCTCTCTCCCTTTACACCTCACTACCTCTTCTTCTTCTCCTCTCCTACCCTTCTCTCATCACAACCTCCTTTCCTGCTGCCTTTCTTTTCCTTTATCCTGTATCTCTCTCTCGTCTATCTTTCTCTCTCTCCCTCTTTCACTCTCTGCCTATTTTTCTGTCTCCCCCTCTCGTTCACGCGCTCTCTCTCAGTCCTTCTCTCTTTCTTTTTCCCACTCTCTCTTTCACTATCTCTCTTTCTCTCTCACCCCCCTTTTTTCAGTACACTGAAGTTATTAACTGAGAGACCATTCATGAGAATGTTGTTAATATCCACTTGTATGTCTTCTTTTGTGCACAAGCAGACCTGTGTGTGTGTGTGTGTGTGTGTGTTTGTGTGTATGAACTTCTTGATCCTGAGACCACTTAGTTGCTTCCAAGTAGCCATAAAGGCTTGTATTTTTGTTAAAAGGCATTTTTGAGGGGTGAACACAAGTTTGCCTAATGGCCAGTGTGCATGTCAGCGAACTGTTTCCAAGCGCATGTATTATTCAAACTAAACAATGGAAGGGTTAGAGAGGATAGAGGGAGAAATGAGAGGAGAAAGACAGAAAGAAAGAGGAGGAAAACAAGGTGGAAGCACTAAGAGATCAAAAGGAGAGGCAGAGTTACCATGACGAGGGACGAGAGAACAATGAAAAGAGACAGAGGAAGAGATGGCCGTCCTACTTTAAACAAACAACTTTGGAGCTCATGACCTTTTCTTATAAATGATTTGTGAAGCATCTATGGAGGCTTATAAAGGTTTTATGAAGTTGTTCAATTAAAGTGCGCCAGAGATGGCAAAACAGAAAGGAAAATCAGTGTGAGGAAGATAAGAGCAGAGGAAGAGAAGGAGAGGAGAGGAAGAGAAGGATATGAGAGGAAGAGAAGAGGAGGAGAGGAAGAGAAGAAGAGGAGAGGAAGAGAAGGATATGAGAGGAAGAGAAGAGGAGGAGAGGAAGAGAAGGATATGAGAGGAAGAGAAGAGGAGGAGAGGAAGAGAAGGATATGAGAGGAAGAGAAGAGAAGGATATGAGAGGAAGAGAAGAGGAGGAGAGGAAGAGAAGAAGAGGAGAGGAAGAGAAGGATATGAGAGGAAGAGAAGAGGAGAGGAAGAGAAGAAGAGGAGAGGAAGAGAAGGATATGAGAGGAAGAGAAGAGGAGGAGAGGAAGAGAAGGATATGAGAGGAAGAGAAGAGAAGGATATGAGAGGAAGAGAAGAGGAGGAGAGGAAGAGAAGGATATGAGAGGAAGAGAAGAGGAGAGGAAGAGAAGAGGAGAGGAAGCTATAGGAGAGCTGTGAGATTGAGGAGGCATTAATGAAAATTAGGTCACTTTGACTTGAGTGAGCGGTGATTTAGGGAGAGGGCTAGATTGGAGGGGAGAGGAGAGGAGAGAAAACAGAGCGAGAGATTAACTTTGAGAGAGTAGAGAGAGAGCGAGACGGAGAGAGGGAGGGAGGGCAAAACAGAGAGAGCTATGGGGATGATGATGATGATGATGAAGCCTGTGCTTGTTCCAGATTTAGATTATAAATAGTTTAGGTAAGAAAGTTGGTCAAATTAGACATTGGGGGTAGGCTTGGGTGGTATACCGTATATAACAAATACCGGGGTATTTGGAAATAGCCACAGATGTTTTTTTCAATACTGTCAATACCGTTGAAACTATTTCTTTGAAGTTTTTTTTAAATACATTTGAATATTTGTAGCTACTTTTTAAGTAAATGCCTGCGGTCAACATGTGCAATACGTTAGGAGATAAAGCACATTGCGTTCTTCATTTCACCTGTCACATTATTTTCCATTATGAAGCTTACCGGTAGTCCCCAGTCACATGGTGTTGTTTACAAGCACACAACAACGAGAGACCGGAGCCTTGTGAGTCAATCACTGTTGTGCAGTAAACGCCAGGTGATCTAGTTACAGTATGGAATTCACAACTAAATGTTTGGCAGCTAGATACAGTATCGTATAACTATTAAGTTAATTGTCTAAAATGTGCTAAATGCTCTGCAGTTGTGCATTTGGTTTGCTAATTTAGTAGCCAGTTATCTAGATAAGTGGTGAGCTCCTTGCAAAATCAAGCTTCTCTTGATAACAGCAGAGAATCCCCTCCTGAAACAAGAGCCTTGCTGTCTAATATTTGTTTTGTGTGTGCAGCAAACTGTGAGTAGCATTTTTGAGTTAATTTTATAAATTTATGGGCTGGGATGTCTGTCCTGCAAATAGTTTTGTCAGAGACTGTATAAAATGTTTGCAATGCGATGGTGCAAGGTTGGTGTGAAGCACAGGAGGTTGGTGGCACCTTAATTGGGAAGAATGGTGGAATGGTATCAAAGACATCAAACACATGGTCTCCAGGTGCTTGATGCCATTCCATTTGCTCCGTTCCGGCCATTATTATGAGCCATTCTCCCCTCAGCAGCCTCATGTGGTATGAGGGTATGACAATCTGGATACCGCCCAAACCTGATAAGGGGTCTTAGAAAGGATCACATTGTCTTTCCAAATACTCCTAGCTGTCTCACCTCTCCTGCAATGATAATATATTTCCGATAAGGTCTTTCTGAGCAGTTAATAGTGATTTTAACATTATTAAAATCAATAACTGTTTAGAAACCCCCGTGTCCCGGGAGACCCATGGGGCGGCGCGCAATTGGCCCAGCGTTGTCCAGGGTAGGGGAGGGAATGGCCAGCAGGGATGTAGCTCAGTTGATAGAGCACGGCGTTTGCAACGCCAGGGTTGTGGGTTCGATTCCCACAGTGGGTATGAATAATGTATGCACTAACTGTAAGTCGCTCTGGATAAGAGCGTCTGCTAAATGACTAAAATGTAAATGTAATGTCCATTGACAAACCTAAGACCTTTCAAATGTAATTTCTAATTCTTAAGTATTCCTGCTGGTCACTTTTCCAGGCAGACAGATCTACTCATATCACACGTTCATTTATAAAACTTAAGCACTGTAAATAATCACTTATTTATGAAAACAATCATTTATTTATCAGTGCCGCCTTCATCCTATGTTTTAATTTAATTCCTACTCTCTCTTAGACATCAGTCCAGTCATTTCCCTCTACTTCTCTCTTGCTCTATCTTTTGCTCTCTGTCCCCCTCTCTTTCTTTTTCTCTCTCTCTCTTTCTCTCTCTCACAGTACCCCCCCCCCTCTCTCTCTCTCTCTCTCTCCCCCTCTCGATCTCTCTCATAGTCTCTTCCTCCCCCCTTCTTTCCCCTTCTCTCTCTCTATCCCTCCTCCTCCTCACCCCACCTCTCTTTTTCTCCCCCTCATCTCTCTCCCTCTACCTCTCTCCTCTCTCTGTTCTCTTCCCCCTCCTCCTCTACTCTGCTGCAATGTCGAGGGTTTTCATATTGGTGCAGTGTTTAAAGATGTCCTCAGACCATTGCAGTGTTGATGCTCAGATCATCATTCATAATGCTATGTGTGTAGTACTATAGCACTGTTTCGGAAGTCATATTATGATATGTCTTTGTGTCATAGTGGGCTGTTTGTATGGCGATGTGCTCTGTATTCTGATTTTGAAACAGAAGAGGTCTGTGTGTGTGTCTGGGTCTGTCTGTGTGTATGTGTATGTGTGTGTGTGTGTGTGTGTGTGTGTGTCTGGGTCTGTCTGTGTGTGTCTGGGTCTGTCTGTGTGTGTGTGTGTGTGTGTGTGTGTGTGTGTGTTAGAGCTCAGAACAATATAGCCTTCAAGACAACCCCATTGCCTCAGTGTGACTGAAAACCAACTACTAAGTGTTCTCCTCACAGCACTACCCTCGTCACTGTCACTGTCACGTTTACATCTGGTCAGGTAGACCAGGGCTGTGTCTGAAATGGAACCCTATTCTCTATGTAGTGCACACATTTTAAGCAGGGCCCATGCATCCCCATTCTCCACCCTTCTCCCTAAGTGTGCACTTGCACACTTCCCTGCATAAATTTAAAAGCATTGGATTGGTGTAAGCATTGGCTGGAGGAGAGTTTCCACCATTGTTAAACACATACACTTCAGGAGAAGGGTGGAGGTAGAGATTTGGCCATCCCTTTGATTTGACCTCTACCAGAGGGGCTGTCTGCCAGTCCATCTCCATCAGTAGGTGTGTTGTTAGTCTGACTGGGTCCCAAATGGCACCCTATTCCCTATATAGTGCACTACCTTTGACCAGGACCCTGCACCCTATTCCCCTACATGGTGCACTACTTTTGACCAGAGCCTTATGGGTCCTGGTCAACAGTAGTGCACTATCTAGAGAATAGAGTGCCATTTGGGACACAGCCATACTGTATCATCTCAGGAACTCCCTAGGGAGCTTTAATATGCGTTAAGACGTGATGTGATGAATTAACCTACAGGGTTCTCTCCTGTGTCCCCAAAAGTGTCCCCAAAAGTGGAGCTTGAGTGCTTCAGGATGGCGAGGCAGGTGACATCACAGGCGATGGGCGGCGGTGTCTCTAGTCGGCACAGAAACGGGTCTCCTCATCATCAGCGTTTCCAGGCCACAGTGAGATGAGATGAGGCTTGTTAAATGAGTTCATGTTAATAGGCTGGGGGAATTAAGCAGTTCTCCCAGGAGCATCCAGACCACTCATTTGGGCTGTGTTTTTTAAAATTAATCTGTCATGAGAAGATTGACCCGACTGCTGCTATTTGAGACGCATCCTCAAAGACATCTATAATATAATGTACTGTAGTAAAGGTATATATACACTGGAGCCAATGTCGGTTGAGTGTGTGTAGGTTTTTTTATTTTTGGAAATTAGAGGGATGCGTGTGCATGCGTGCCTGTATGTTTAAAATGTGCATAATATGAAATGCAAGCTCCCTATCTGGATATACATGTTTCTCTCTATACTGAGATCTGAGCAGGCATTTTGCAAGACGACTGCTACTCTGCAGCCAGGGCTCTGGAAGGACCCCGATACATTCAGGCAGCTTACTGCATAGACCAGAGAGAGAGGGAAAGGGAGAAAGAGAGAGAGAGACGGAGGAGGAGGAGGAGTGTGGAGGTATGGGAGAGCTAAAGATCGAGAGAGAGAGAGAGAGAGAGAGAGAGATTTCTGTGAGAAAGAAAGGGGAGGAGGAAGAGGATAGCGAGGGAACAGAGAGGAGGGGAGGGGAACGCTGCAGAGGGGGAAACAGCAGCAGCACCACACACACACGTATATAAGTGACTGTAATGACGTGTTACATAAAGGGAATTCATTGGGTGGCAGGGACAGAGAAAGAGAGGCAGAGAGAAAGAGGGGCAGAGACAGAGGGTCAGTGAAAGAGAGGCAGAGAGAGGCAGAAAGAGAGGCAGAGATGCAGAGAGAGGCAGAGAGGCAGAGGGAGAGGTAGAGAAAGAGAGGCTGGGCGATATGGCCTAAAAATCATACCTCGATTTCTTTCAAACTTCACAATATGTATCTTGATTTTTTAAAAATGATTTCTCTAAATAAGCTTTGTTGTACAATTAAAGGTAAAATACACTGCATTTGGAACAGTCAGCAACAATTTAATGAATTCAGGGGTTGTGAAATTATACCTTGGCGACCTAGGCCACAATAATAAGACCCACTAATAATGTAATTATTTTATCAAAATAGTTTAACTGTCTATGAAAATGCCCTTTTTGTTACACATTTTACCAGAACCATTCATAATGCACATTCACTAATAATGATCAACTTCTTGTAGCAGGCATTATAGAAAATTAACACAGGTCTCATAAACAATCTCTGAAGTACAAGGCCATGTGCTAGTGAGTAGCCAGCTAATCTTTATATTTAAAGTCTAGCCAACTTGGATCTATTTGCTAACTAACAAGGTAGAACAGTTGAATTGTTATGAACACACCCTTCTGTCCATCTCCTACTGTTTGAACAGCATGCTAGCCTGTCCACTTTGTTCTTAAGTTTTGGTGTTTGCGTCTTTTACTTTTGGTTTTGTACACCAGCTTCAAACAGCTTAAAATACCCCAAAAATTGTTAATGATGGTACAATGATTCTCTACACTATACTTGCTTGTTTTGTCACATAAACTGAAATTAGGCGAACTATTAGAGTTTTAGCAACCAGGAAATGGCGGAGCGATTTCTGCATAGTGCATCTTTTAAGTTTTCCTCTATTACTTTAAAATAATGTCTCAATGTGTTTCGGTGTCCATATGAGCGATTCTGTTGGACCAAACCACAAATGCAAATGGCGAGTTGAAACCGCATGTTGTCAGAGAGGAAGAAGTGATTTCCCCTATTTGTTGTTCTCAGTGGCAGGGGGAGGAGTTTGGTGTTTGTGTGTAAATTGGAAGGTGCACAGTCACAGCAGAAGGAGCGAGACCAAAAAGAGAACACGGTTAGGTTTGGTTGAGGCTGGCCTGAAGTTGGGTTATGTTGAGTTGAAGCTGGATTGAGGTTGGGTTAGGTTGTGTTGAGGTTGGGTTATGTTGGGTTGGGTTGGGTTGAGTTGAAGCTGGGTTGGGTCGGGTTAGGTTGGGTTTAGGTCGGTTGTGTGAGAGAGAGTGAGGTTTCGTGTGCCTGAGATGAACAGATACTATTGATCCAGAGGGGCCGATAGGAGAAAAGGCCTGGTGCTTTAAACAGGCACGCCGGCTCAATCGATAGACATTTATCTATGTGAGCGAACATGACATCTCTGTTTTCATAATGGTGGCCGCGTATTGCCCACAGCGTCGTAACTCACTAACCCCCATCTCTCTCTCTCTCTCTCTCCCTCTCTTTCTCTCCCTCGCTCTCTATTCATCTCCCTCTTCCTCTTTCCACCTCTCTCTGTCTCTACTGTACAGTCACTCTCCATCTTGAACCCCCCTCTCTCACCGTTTTCTACCTCCGCCTCTCTTTTCCCCCAGCTCTTTCTCTCTCTCCCTCTCTCTCTCTTTCTGTCTCAGTGCAGTGTCAATGAGATTGCAGCATTCAGTATGCTCATACTGTATTAGCTGCTTCCCTCCCTCCCCCCTCTCTCTCTCTCTCTCTCTGGTGTGTATTTTTGGTCTGTTGTTCGTGGTCTCTGGCGCCACCTATCTTCCGTATATTATCAGAAGCACAGGTCTGAATGCACACTACGGTACCACTGCAATGACCCAAAACGCAGCACAGCACAGCCACCCTTCACTGTATATAGCTACCTATCAGAGAACATTAATTTAGCTTTCAGCAAATGTTTATTTACATTCACTGTCAGCTGATAGGCCAAAGCTATGGGTCTATTCTCATTGAAGAGAATTAAGGAGAATTCAGAGAGATTCTAGGCTATCTATTCTCGAGAGACATTACTGTAATGTGAACTTGCGTATTTCTCACGTCTCGAATGCTACCTCCGGAGGTCACGCACGACACTCGTCCGACAGTTGCCCCCCTCTAATCAGGGGAGTGTAAACAGAATTGACTCCTTGAGCCCAACATTCATACAGGAAAAATACTAATAGCAGAGCAATGTTTTTGAAACAGCTGAAATGTACAGACATTTTCATTATATTTTAAACTAGTTTTATGGCGTTTTCACCTGAAATTGCATTAACAACCTGTTACATTCTGAAATTGTCGCCGTAGCTTTAAAAAAGGGAAGCTCAACTTTGTTGACTTACATGATACTAATAAAAATGTACTTTTATATTCCTATGAAAGGGGTGAACGTTCATGTTTGATATGCTAACATTACTAGCTAGCTAGCCCAATAATGTCTGAAAGGATCCAAGGACCTTACGTGTTCTGTTTAAAGGGGAATTAGCTCTGGAAGCCAAAACAGCCTAACACTCCATCTCAATTGCGGTACGGTTCTAGAAACATAAATCCCTCTACTTTCATATCACATCAAAATAATTTCACAAATGCAAAGGTTTTAACACAGTTGCAGCAGACAGTATTTTCCAGTGACAACACGTTTGTGGTGTCCATCTTCCGTTTACACACAGGTATTCAGAGATGCAGATAAATAATTAGCACAGGTAGTCCACTATTTCTTCCGTCTGTTTTCCGTAAACATGCGCTGTAACATGGAAATATGGCTGTGTGTGAACCTTAACCCTATTAAGGTGTGTAGTAATTGAACTTATTATTATTTTATGTTTTCCGCTGATATGAAAGATATGTTACTTATGTTTCCAAAACCGTACTGCAAGCGATGCATGTTAATTTTTAGAGGAAGCGTCGGACCTCATAACAAAACTCCCCTGGTCAGAAGATACTATCGTCAATAGGCGATAAATCAGTTACCGTCTATGAATGGGGTACTAGCTAGTTAGCTGTGTTATTGTCTTGCAAGCTACATTTAATGCGTGTACTAACGAGAAAATAAACCCTTTAATTGTCTGCACATGCGTGTGAATTTTTGCATTATTCAAGAGTAATATGGTTTGGTTGCATTATTCAAGAGCGTAGCTAATACGTTTTTGCCACAAAGTCATAAAATCTTAATTTAAACCTAACCCACACTGCTAACCCTAATGCCTAACCCTAACCTTAAATAACCCTAACCTTAACCACACTGCTAACCCTAATGGCTAAACCAATATAGCAGCTCAGTGAAAACAATTAGGCTAATCTATATTTCCATAGCTAGGCCTATTTCCTATTTTTGAAGATCAATGGGTATTAAATTAATTGGAATGACAGAAAATCTGACAGACTCTGTTGTTCAATTTTTATGTAAAGATATAGCCTAATCGTATTATTATCTGTAGTAGAAAGCAATGGGTTAGAAGAAGCCTACATAACCAACCCATGAAGTAAAAATGCAACATCTCTTGATGGCCAGCAATGTAAACTCTAACATTGATTTATCTTGCAAAAGATGTTCAATTGTTAATATAAATGTTTGTCTTCTTCTAATGCCTCTTAAGCAGGTTGACGTTTATGAGTCTTGTCCTTGAGGCAGAACGGAGTGATTTCAGCTAATTTGGTGTGTCATCATATTGGTCTCCGACTTGTGGTCAGACTCGCTTAGGCGGAACAAACTTACATTTGCACCTTTATTCAATGCTGATTTGAATGTCATTGAAAAAACAGAAAGGTGTCAAATAATTTTTTTGAACTTATTTTCTGAATGTAAAAGTAATCCTAGAAGTAATCATCTAGTTTTTCAAAAGTATCTGTAATCTGATTACGATATCTTTGCTGGTAACATAACGAATTACAGTCACAGTTTTTTTTATAATCCATGTAATCCGTTACTCCCCAATCCTGACTGCATGGTTGTTATGTGGTTTGTTCAGTTGGACTATGAAGTTCATCAGAGTTTCTGTGTAATTGTTGGCTTTAGACCTAAAACTGTCTAAAACAGATCAATTCATGCAAAGTGGAAACCATTGGTGTTTTTTAGCAGTTTAGGTTAACCTCTGTTGCTGCATGTTTTCTGTGATACAGTATGTGAATTACATTCATCTGTAAATCGATGTGATCCTTTGGGCTAGGCTTCTGTGAGAATTCAATGAGCCCAAGAAACATAATCCTGTAACAGGCAACTAAGTAAACAAACTTGAACCTAACCGTTTTTCTCTGTCCTTCTCTCTACCTCTCTCCTCTCCTCCAGTACTGTGCGTTCCTCTCACTCCTGTTCATCCTCATCTCCATCACCACCTTCTGCCTGGAGACGCATGAGGCCTTCAACACCATCTACAACAAGACGGAGAACGTGACGGTGGGCAATGTGACGCGCGAGGAGATAGTCTACGAGGTGGTGACCGACGGCTGGCTCACCTATGTGGAGGGAACGTGCGTCATCTGGTTCACCATTGAGGTCATGATGCGCGTGATCTTCTGCCCCTGCAAGAAGGAGTTCTTCAGTAGCACCCTCAACATCATTGACTTTATTGCTATCATGCCCTTCTACCTGGAGGTGGCACTGAGTGGTCTGGATTCCAAAGCTGCCAAAGACGTGTTGGGCTTCCTGCGAGTGGTGCGCTTCGTCCGGATCCTGCGTATCTTCAAGTTGACGCGTCACTTCGTGGGCCTGCGGGTGCTGGGCCACACGCTCCGCGCCAGTACCAACGAGTTCCTCCTCCTCATCATCTTCCTCGCCCTCGGAGTGCTCATCTTCGCCACCATGATCTACTACGCCGAGCGCATCGGCGCCGACCCTGACGATCCTACGGCCGCCAAACACACAAACTTCAAGAACATCCCCATTGGCTTCTGGTGGGCCGTGGTCACCATGACCACTCTGGGCTATGGGGACATGTACCCCGAGACGTGGTCGGGGATGCTGGTGGGGGCGCTGTGCGCCCTGGCGGGGGTACTGACCATCGCCATGCCTGTTCCCGTCATCGTCAACAACTTTGGCATGTACTACTCACTGGCCATGGCCAAGCAGAAGCTGCCCAAGAGGAAGGGCAAGCACATCCCTCGGCCCACCATGCCGGGCTCGCCCAACTACTGCAAGCCAGACGCCCTGGCCATGGCCACCGCCGGGCCGGGTATGGTGGGCTCAGGAAGCCTGGGGGGAGGGGACTGCCCTCTGGCCCAGGAGGAGATCATCGAGATCAACAGGACAGGTGAGTAAAGCAGGGGAGGGAGGAGAGGGATGGAGGGAGGGAGAGAAGGGGAGGAGAGGCGTGCGTGCGTGCGCCTGTGTGTGTGTGTGTGTGTTTGTGTGTGTGTGTGTGTGTGCTGATGCAGTATATTTGAAATCTATCTAGAGTGACTGACTGCTGGTGACCTGCAGCATCCCTCACACTAATATTACAATATTATGATCAAATTACCCCGATCACTCTCTCGACATGATGTGGTGTCTCTGCTTGTCTCTGAGTCCCATATAACTAACCCAAAGTACCAAAACATATACCCCATGTCTGAATCCCTGTACTGTACTTTAACTGATAAAGAAAACCCATAACATACTGGGACAGTCTTAAATAGCACTCTGTCAGATTATGGTTCCCAACCATCAGAATCCTCCCTTTCTACCATGACCGCATGTGTGGGTATGTGGTGTGTGTGTGTGTGTGTGTGTGTGTGTGTGTGTGTGTGTGTTTCCATCGCTCTCCAGTCTGTAGAATTAACCCGATTTAGAGAGTGTGGGGAGAAATGAAGTGGATCTGTAACCATGTTAAATAGGGAAGCTGAGGCCGCGCACACACACACACACACACACACACACACACACACACACACACACACACACACACAAGCTGATGAAGTCATATAGACTCCGTAACTCTGTATAGAGCAGGGTGATCCCATAATCTAACCCCCTCCACCCTCATCCTTCTCTCTCTGCTGGGGAGCTCTCAACACGTCGGCTTTAACGTTTATAAATATTTGGTTAGGAAGATTGGCCTGTCAAAACGCTGTTTGACAGTGGACAGAAATGTAATTAAACTTGAAGAGTAGAGTGGGGGTGGTGGGGGGTGATGGGTGGAGGGGTGGGGGGGGTGGATTGGGAGAAGGATTAGTTATGACAAGAGAGTTGAGAAGCATGTAAAATGGCATTAGAGAGGGCCCTTCAATTTACACACGTAGGCTACTCAGATCCTGATACATACACGCTCGCACGCGTGCACTCACGCGCACACACAGGTGCATGTGCACACACACACACTAGGGATGGGCACGAGTACTCAAGTACTGGATTCGGTGTTTTGTATTCAATTTAATAATTGAGTATTCAAAATGTTCAAATGTAACTATTTAGCAGCTTACATTTAAAAGCGCTGACAAAATGTCTGTAAGATGTGAGTATGTCAAGGGCAGTGAATGTTAAAGTTGTGTATCAGAACAACCAGTAGTTGGAACAACCGATGGCATACCGCAAGCTTTTTTTGCCTTCAACCATGTTTAACGCAAAAATGCAACAGACACACACACACACACACACACACACACACACACACACACACACACCACACACACACACACACACACACACACACACACACACACACACACACACACAGTCTTGTACAGCTAACCTTGTGGGGACACACAATTCAGTCCCATTCAAAATCCTATTTTCCCTAAACCTAACCCTAACCCGTACTCTTACCCTAACCCTAACCCTAACACTAACCGTAACCCAAAAACCTAACCTTAACCCTAAACCTAACCCTAACCCGTACTCTTACCCTAACCCTAACCCTAACCCTAACACTAACCTTAACCCAAAAACCTAACCTTAACCCTAAACCTAACCCTAACCCGTACTCTTACCCTAACCCTAACACTAACCTTAACCCAAAAACCTAACCTTAACCCTAAACCTAACCCTAGCTCGTAACCCTAACCCTAAAACTAACCCTAGCTCCTAACCCTAACCCTACACACACACACACACACACACACACACACACACACACACACACACACACACACACACACACACACACACACATTTGTACATCATATAGGCCTATTTCCCTCTTGCACTAGCAACCCCCTACACTAGTAATAAATAGGCTTTTTTTTGTGTGTGTTTGTGTTTGTAGGGACATGTCAGTGCCGAAAGAGCTCCTTCTGTCAGCACTGCTTACAGCCCAGGAGAGGAGACAAGTGTAGCTCAGTTGGTAGTCCCGTGTAGATCAGTTGGTAGAGCAGGGTTGTAGGTTCGATTCCCACGGGGGACCAGTACCAAAAAAGTATTAAAATGTATGCACTCACCACTGTAAGTTGCTCTGGATAAGAGCATCTGCTAAATGACTAAAATGAGAAGAGGGTGTGGAGGAAGGGAGGATTGGAGGGGAGGATGTAGAGGTAAAGAGGGGATAAGAGAGGATTGGAGGGGTGGGTGTGGAGGAGAAGAGGGGATAAGAGAGGATTGGAGGGGTGGGTGTGGAGGTAAAGAGGGGATAAGAGAGGATTGGAGGGGTGGGTGTGGAGGAGAAGAGGGGATAAGAGAGGATTGGAGGTGTGGGTGTGGAGGGGATGTAGCTCAGTTGGTAGAGCATGGCGTTTGCAACGCCAGGGTTGTGGGTTCGATAAAAAAATAATGTATGCACTAACTGTAAGTCGCTCTGGATAAGAGCGTCTGCTAAATGACTAAAATGTAAATGTAAAATGAGGAGAAGAGGGGATAAGAGAGGATTGGAGGGGTGGGTGTGGAGGAGAAGAGGGGATAAGAGAGGATTGGAGGGGTGGGTGTGGAGGAGAAGAGGGGATAAGAGAGGATTGGAGGGGTGGGTGTGGAGGAGAAGAGGGGATAAGAGAGGATTGGAGGGGTGGGTGTGGAGGAGAAGAGGGCGCTACAAAACGTAACAAATACAAAAAGAATGGCAAGGCTTTGACCCTCATCTCTTTCCTGTTAATCTACCTTTCAATCTCAGTTTCTTTCTTTCTTTCTTTCTTTCTTTCTTTCTTTCTTTCTTTCTTTCTTTCTTTCTTTCTTTCTTTCTTTCTTTCTTTCTTTCTTTCTTTCTTTCTTTCTTTCTTTCTTTCTTTCTTTCTTTTACTCTATCTAGGCTCAGTCTGTTTGAAAGTTGTAGGGCCGGTTTCCGGGAAACAGATTAAGCCTAGTCCTAGACTAAAAAACTATTTCAATCAAGAATTTCCATTGAACATGCTTTTTAGTCTAGGACTAAGCTTAATCTGTGTCTGGGAAACTGGCCCCTGAAGTCTAAGGCCGTGTCCGAATACCCATACTTAGTCCTAAATAGTATCAAATAAAATAAACTTTTATTTGTCCCATGTGCCGAATACAACAGGTGTAGACCTTACCATGAAATGTCCTTAACAAACAATGCAGTTCAAGAAATAGAGTTAAGAAAATATAGACTAAATAAACTAAAGTAAAAAATTAAATAAAAAGTAACACAATAAAATAATAATAACGAGGCTATATACAGGGGGTACCGGTACGGAGTCAATGTGCAGGGGTACAGGTTAGTCGAGGTAATTTGTACATGTAGGTAGGGGTAAAGTGACTATGCATAGATAATAAACAGCGAGTAGCAGCAGTGTCAATGTAAATAGTCCGGGTGGTCATTTGATTAATTGTTCAGCAGTCTTATGGCTTGGGGGTAGAAGCTGTTAAGGAGCCTTTTGGACTTAGACTTGCCGTGCGGTAGCAGAGAGAACAGTCTATGACTTGGGTAACTGGAGTCTTTGAAAAATGTTTTGGCCTTCCTCTGACACGCCTAGTATATAGGAAGCTTGGCCCCAGTGATGTACTGGGCCGTACACACTACCCTCTGTAGTGCCTTACAGTCGGATGCCAAGCAGTTGCCATACCAGGAGGTGATGCAACAGGTCAGGATGCTCTCGATGGTGCAGCTGTATAACTTGTTGAGGATCTGGAGACCCATGCCAAATCTTTTCAGTCTCCTGAGGGGGAGTAGGCCATTTTGATTATGTGAAAAAAAAAAAAATTATACTATGTGAATTTTCAGAAATCGATTATACATTAAATGCCAGATGTCATACTCATTTTGTTTTTTTTTCTAGTAGAATTCGCTGCACACTATTGAGGAAGAGAATCATATTTTCACACCCACGTGTGTTCGACAACAGCTGAAAATGAATGATTAGAAATAAGAACACGAGAAAGTAAGTAAACTATATACAGGGTCAGTTCCAGGGTCAATGCCAATAACAAATTTACAATTGAAAATATAGCCTGACATGTTGCTCTTGTATTGTTTTGACTGTCACAACAGTTTATGCTGCTGAGGCATCTGGTCTCCATGTTGCCTCCTGACAAAAGCTAGTCAGATGTACTAAACCTGCCATCAAAAACAACAGCATCAAGGAAGATAAAAGATGGCATTTTCTTTTTTTCTAATTTGCTCTGCTTGGCTGTCAACTGGTGCGTGGCTGTATACTTTTGATAAATAATGCAGGTATAAACAGGTAAATACAACAAATGTTTCCAGATTCATCCAGAATATCACAGTGTTCAAACATGTAGCTATTTGGACATGAGAGGGCGGAAGGTAAGAAGAGGTAGACAGGGGGAGAGAAAGTGGTGGAGGGGGAAAGAGGGAGGGAGGTAAGAAGAGGTAAGGAGGGACAGAGTGTATAGTGATCTTCATGAAGCCTCTTACTTTAATGAATATTTGACCTCTTAATGTTCCGACGCCCCCTGGCTCCACTACCAGGTGTTGCAACAGCATCGTGTTATACGCCTGTTTGAACACACACACATGCTCACAGACATATGCACGCACGCAAGCACACACACACGCTCAATGACATCTACTGCACACACACACACACGCTCACAAATACACACACACCTCTCTCCCTCTCTCACCCCTCTCCCTCTCTCTGTAATATGCTATTTACTGAATTTCTCTCTCTTTCTCTCTCACACTCCGTCTCTCTCCAGCTCTCTTTCTCATTTACTCTCTGCAATCTCAGTTCCTTTCTCTCAGTCTCTCTCTCTGTCTCTCTCTCTTTCTCTTTCTCTCTCTTCTCTCCCCCCCCCCTCCCTCTCGCTGTCTCTCTGCATCTCTCTGTGTGTCGTTGTGAGGTTTGGCCCTCTGGGTTATTTCTGTAAATTGTTGAGCAGTAACTCACGTCAAATTAGATTTGACAGCTGTGTCGGAAGCTATAAGCACAAGTTACCCCGCAGCATCTCCCCGTGAGTGTGCGCGCGCGCGCGTGTGTGTGATTATCTACTCTGTATAGTATCTCTCAGTTCCCCCTCTCTTTCTCTCCCTCCTCCCCTTCTCTTTCTCTTGCTCTCCCTCTCTCTCTTTTGCTGTGTGTGTGTTAATGTAATGATGCTCAGCTCAGTGTGTGTGTGTGTCAGTGTGTGTGTGGACCTGGAGAGGCTGGGCTCCTGCCTCCCCTCCTCCACTGCAGTGTTTTGGTCACACCTTCTATACACTCTTGCATTTAACAATCTCATCCCCTCTCTTCTATTCATTTCACCCTTTATCTTCCTGCCCCTCTCTCGCTCTTACACATCACCCTCTTCTATTTCTCCTTCTTCATTCCTGTCCTTCTCTACTTCCTTGTTCTTACTCACACCTTAAACCTAATTGATCTTGTTGTCATACCTTTCCCCATCCCCCCCTTTTCCTGCTACTTATTTATTTCTCTGCCTTCTCTCCTCTCCATTTATCCCCCTCTTCTTACACATTCTTCCTCCTCCCCTTCTCTTCCTTTCTCTTTCTACCTCCCCACTTTATCTTTCTCCTGCCATCAACATATTTTCTCTCTTCCTCCTCTCCATCCTTTTATCTCTCTCCCACCCTTCTCCTTCCCCTTTCCCTTACACCCCACCCCTCCACCTTCTCTTTCTTCCTCCCTACTTATTTCTCCCTCTGTCCTTCCCTACCTCTTCTCCCTTCCACCCCTCTCTCCCACCTCCTCACCCTTCTCTGTCGACCCTCCTTACCTCTTCTTACACGCCTCCTTGTCTCCCCCCTCCCTCCAACTCCTCCCTCCCCTATCTCTCTCCTCCTTCCCCTCTCGCCCCTCTCTTCTTCCCCCTCCCCTTGTCCCCTCCAGATTCCAAGCAGAATGGCGACGCGGCCAACGCAGCCCTGGCTAACGAGGACTGCCCCACCATAGACATGGTGCTTGGGGAGGAGAGAAGTCCTGCCACTGGGGGTCTGGGCACCGGCGGGAGCCGCGAGCGCTATCCCCATGACCGAGCCTGCTTCCTCCTCAGTACCGGAGAGTTCCGTGCCACAGACGGCAACGTGAGGAAAGGTACGCCCGGGTCAGGCTCAGGGTCAGGGCCAGGGTCAGAGCTGGGGTCAGAGTCAGGGCCGGCGCTCCGCCATACCCAAAGGTTCAGTAGCTCGACACTCAGCAGCTCAACACTCACTGTGTGCTCATGACACTCCCATACACACATGTACACATACACATACACACACACACATACACAACTATACACTTCAGAGCTGGTTCAAGTACCTTAGGTCAAATACTTTCATTAAACTTAACAGTATTTGAGGTGTGCTTGATTCAGCTTGGGGTTTGCACTTTTGGAACTATTCCATTGGTTCCATCGTACCAGGCAAACGTAATCAATTGCAGCTCTTGGAATAATCTGACTTCCAATTCACACATACATATACACGCACGCACGCACGCACGCACGCACACACACACACACACACTAAGTAAACACCTCCTCTCCTCTCCCCTGACCCTCCCCCTCCTCATATTTCTCATAATCATTTTGACTGACAGTCACAGACCCTGCCCACAATATCCACAGGCAGTTTTGAGCTGTCTCACTCTCCAGACCTTCCTATATGAACTGGGTTATGCCACATTATGGCATAAGTGAAATATCAATGGATTGATATTTTGTCGGACCAGTTCCCACATGCTGTTTTCAATAACATTGGCACCACACGTCTACTACTGTATATCTAAATGTGCTGTGGTGCTTTCTATTACCATTTTGGACACTGGAGTTATAAAATAACAAATAGGTATTATTGTCTGAGTTTGGTACATATCAATACAATATCAATACATATCAGTACATATCAATAGTGGTCCATTGTAGCTCAGTTGGTTGAGGTTTAATGCACATTTTCACAGCCTGTTCTGAAACGAGATCAGTACAGTACGATCACTGACTGAATAGCTATCACACTGCATCTGGCTGTCAATCTGTCTTCTACTGCCTGTAGTCATTCTTTCTATCTATCTATCATCTATCTATATATCTATCTATCTATCTATCTATCTACTATCTATCTATCTATCTATCTATCTATCTATCATCTATCTACTATCTATCATCTATCTGATCTATCTATCTATCTATCTATCTATCTCATCTATCTATCTATCTATCATATCTATCTATCTATCTATCTATCTATCTATCACTTATCTATCTATCTATCTATCTATCTATCTATCTATCTATCTATCTATCTATCTATCTATCTATCTATCTATCTAATCTATCTTATCTATCTTATCTCATTCTGGCTCTCATTTATTGGTCACGCTTTCTTTCTCTTTGTCTCTCTCTCCTCTCCACACCCTGTCTGCTTGCAATTGCTCCACCAATCCATTCCTCCTCCCCTCCATTTCTCCATGCTTTCTCACTGGACATGCATGCTCTTTTTCATTTAACTTTTATCACTCACCTGCTTCTTCTTTCACCTGACATCCCCATGGTTCTACCTCCAACAATCCAACCCCTTCCACCCAACATTTTGTACCTCAACCTAAAACTAACCCCCCGCCCGGCCTTCCCCTGACGTCCCCGGTCACAAATACACTCCTCTACAAACCCCACTCCAACACTCCCCTCACAACAAACACCAGACGCTGCAGCGGCCAGCCCGGCATCCCCCCCAGGAGAGGAGTGGTTCAAGCCAGAGGGGCCTCTGCTACAGCAGGACCTCAATGCAAACTCCGCCTCCTCCTGGATCAAACCATAGCGATACAGAGGTAACACAAAAGACACATACAGAAGTTTGGTTGAAAGCACAATGAGGAAACACACAGTAACACACAGTAACATGGCAAGCGTGCGCACGCACACACATACACACATGCACATGCACACACACACGCACACAAACCACAGCAAAGCACACACACACATGAAGCAACATGGCACCCCCCCCCCCCCCCCCCACACACACACACACACACACACTGAAAGGTTGTATGTTTAAGAATGCATGACAGTTAATTGCTTGTTACAGTAAAGCTTTCAAGTTTGGTTCAGCATTTTTATGGTGGATTATGGTCCTAAGTGTAGGGTGGGAGGGTAAATGTATGTGTGTGTTTGTGCCCGGGTGCGTGTGTGCGCGTGCATATTTGTGTGTGTTCGTGCACGGGTGCGTGTGTGTGCGTACTCTATGTGTGTTTGTGTGTGTGTGCATACTGTGCCCTCCTGAATTATTGGCACCCTAGGTAAATACTGTATGAACAAAAAAAGGCTGTGAAAAAATGTAATCGTTGTGTATCAGCCTGATCTTACACTCAATGTATCATATGAATCTAACCTTTAATTGAGTTAAAATTGTTCCAAAAAATAATAATAGTCATCAAGAAATAAATATTTTATTCAAAAACATGCATGTCACAATAATTGGCACCCCTGCATTTAGTACTTTGTGCACCCTCCCTTTGCCAAGATAACAGCTCTGAGTCATCTCCTATAATGTTTGATGAGGTAGGAGAACACATAAGAAGGGATTCGAGACCATTCCTCTATACAGAAACTCTCCAGATCCTTCAGTCCTTGGTCCTCGCTTGTGGACTCTCCTCTTCAGCTCACCCCACAGGTTTTCAATGGGGTTTAGGTCAGGGGACTGGGATGGCCACTGAAAAAGCTTGATTCTATGGTCAGTGAACCATTTGCGTGTGGATTCAGAGGTATGCTTTGGATCGTTTTCCTGCTGGATGACCCAGTTTTAGCCTCCTGGTAGAGGCAGACAGGTTTTCGCCTAAAATCTCCTGGTGCTTGATGGAGTCCATGATGCCATGTATCCTAACAAGTTTCCCAGGGCCTTTGGAAGTAAAACAGCCCCACAACATCACAGGTCCACCACCATACTTCACAATGGGGATTAGCTTATTTTCTGCATGACCATGGCTCTTTTTACGCCTAACCCACCTCTGGTGTTTGTTGCCAAAAAGCTCTATGTTAGTCTCATCAGACCATAGAACCTGGTTCCAATCAATGTTCCAATCAATGTTCCAATGACATTTAGCAAACCCCAGGTGCTTAAGCTTGTGGTTTGGTGACAGCAGATGTGGCAACCCTTCCAAATAACTTGTTGGCATGAAGGTGGCGTCTAATTGTAGTTTTGGACAGTTGTTGACCCCAAGATGTAACCAACTTTGGCAATTCTCCAACTGTGATCATTGGAGATTTGTTTGCCTCTTGAACCATCCTTCTCATTGTGCGTGGGGGCAAAATAAAGTTGCGTCCTCTTCCAGGCAGGATTATCACAGCTCCAGTTGTTTTACATTTCTTAATTATTGCCCTAATAGTGGAGATGGGTATTTTCAGGCGTCTAGCTATCTTTTTATAGCCATTGCCTGATTTGTGAAGGTCAGCAACCTTTAATCTCATTTCATTTGTGTGTTCTCTGGCCTTTCCCATGTTGATGGATGACTAAGGGAGTTTAGCCTGTGTGTCACCTCATATTTATACCCAAGTGAAATAGGAAGTCATGGCTGGACCACTTAAGAGTTCCCAAAGAGTCAGATGAACTTGAAAAAGTAAAATCGGAATATACATGAATTAGATTTAGTTCATAAGAATTTCTAGGGGTGCCAATAAAGGTCAGATTCTGTGATATTTTGAGTGTAAGATCAAGCTGATAAACAACAATGAAATTTTATCACAACCAATCATTCAGGAGGGCACTGTACATCAATGTATGTTTGGAAATGTATGTGTTTACATCTCCCCACATTTAACACAGTTCACCCCAACTATGGCTTATCCTTTGGTCAATTTCATTCAGTTCAACTACTGCACTTAACCTTACATTACACACACAGACACACGCACGCACGCACACACACACATAAACACACACACACACACACACATAACACACACACATAAACACACACACATAAACACACACACATAAACACACACACACATACAACCTTTATCCTCCTTTTCTGCCTTCTGGATGACCCCAAACCCTCGCTCTAGTAACCTGAAGACACAGTGAGTCCCTTCGCTGTATCTTTCTCCTCAATCTATGTCTTAATATCTTATCTCTTATCTATAGTATCTATCCGCTCGATTTCTCTCTCTCTCATCTATCTCGCGTTGCGTCTCCCTCTCTCGCTATCTAGCTAGAGCTACTATCCGGAGATGCTCTCTCTCTCATCGCTCTCTCTCTCTCTCTCTCTCTCTCTCTCTCTCTCTCTCTCTCTCTCTTCTCTCTCTCTTACTCAACCCTCTCTTCTCTCTCTCTCGCAAGCAAAATGCCACAACCGTTTTCCACTGAGGGGTGAGAGAATGTGCCCTGAGCAAACGGGGCCGATTAGACCTACATGACTCATTGGATCCAATAGAGGGAGAAAGAGAGGATGAGAGAGAGGGAGCTGGGCTTAATTGTGCGATGGGAGGCTAAATGGAGTTATGTAATGTGATGTGAGCGATATGATGGCCACCCCTACCTCCCCCTCCTCATCTCCTCCCTCCCTCCATCCTTCCTTCCCTCCTTCCCAGAGACCTCGTCTGCAATCTCAGCCCCGGCCTCCACTCAAATTCACCCTCTCAGAACTCTACTCCTCCACACACACAACACACAGGATTTCTCACTACATGTACTTGTAGCCTACCCCTCGACTCCCCGTCTTAGAGCCCTGTTACACACCATCAACTGAACCCTTAACGACCCATTTCACCAATTAAGCCACTACGCAACGCTACCAACATAACACAAGATTCTGATCGGGAGTGTGTGTGTGTGAATGAGCTACAGTACATGTGTTTGGCTGTGGATGTCCCTCTGTCCATCGGCTAGCGTTGTGTGCGTGCAAATGTGTGTGCGTTTGTGTGTATATCTGTGTATGTCGTCAGCGATGCAAGCCCTCTGTTCTCTGCAGTGTGTATGTGCGTGTGTGTATGTGTGTTAGGACCACCATGGAGAGGGGTGGGGGTGGGGTTGTGAGGGGGGCCATGTCTTCTGACGTGTCTGTTATTGTTGTGTTGTCTCCCTCCTCAGGTTGTGTCGTGTCATGCGTTTGTATGTCGGCTCTTGTTGCTCTGTGTTACACTTGTCTGTCTGTCACGGTCCTCTCCCCAGTCTCTGTCCCTCCGTCCGTCCGTCTGTCCGTTGTGTGTCCTGTGTTTTCCTTTGTGCTCCCGTTGTTTTTGTTTTGTGTTGCCGTGTCCTCCTCTCCCTCCTGTGGCTCTTTACTCTGGTACGGTCTCCTCTTGCTTCCTCAGAGACACCAGTACAACTGCCCTGTTTAGCAGGGTACAAACAGTCACACAGCCAATACACAAATCCAAGATACAGTATAATCCAAGATATACAATTGGAGAATACTGGGAGAAAGAAACTGTGACGCATTTAAATCCAGATGATTGGACCAAATCAGTGTTAACATGTTTGTGTCTATATAAACTGGTAGCAGAGTAAAATCCACTGGTGTGTACTGGTTGATTTCTTGAAGTGAAAGCTGGTTACTTCTCTCTCTTTTCTGGAACTGCCCTCCACTCTGAGATGACCAGAACATTGTTTCATCACAGTACCAGGGGGGAGCCCAGGCCCTACGTGCTGGTCCAGGGTCAGTTCTTAGGACCTCAATCCTCACCATTCTCCTTTACAACCCTAAACCAAGACTGACTCTGGATCAAATCTTATGCCTGCTCCCTAATCCCCACCACCACAAATGTCCCTATACGAGTGGCATTGCCTCAAGCTGTCAAGCTATCGTAGTCTACACAGCAGTATATCTATGAATGTTAGTGGCTGGAGTGGGGGATGCATTTGGCTGTGCTGAAACACTGTTCACGAGTCTAGTGCTTCTAAGGTGTGCTTCAGTCCTAGTGGGAGAGCACTAAGGCCAGGCTAGATCAAAACGTATAGGTCTAGTCTAGATACTGTACACACTTAGGGACTGACAGGCTGACCGGCACTGGGCAGGGGTATAGGGCACCCCTCCACACACACAGTGTTACACACAGACACACTGGCAGACAGACTGGCAGACAGACTGGCAGACAGACTGATTTACAAGTAGACAGACAGTCAGACAGACAGATTTACAGACAGACCGACAGAGACTGGCAGACAGACAGACAGACAGACAGACAGACAGACAGACAGACAGACAGACAGACAGACAGACAGACATACAGACAGACATACAGACATACATACATACATACATACATACATACATACATACATACATACATACATACATACATACATACATACATACATACATACAGACAGACACACTGCTACGTGCAGTGCCAGGTAAGTGACGGTAGTAGTCGTACGGTCTGTGGGGACTAGCTGACTGGTTTTAGTGGTGACAGAGTGTGTTGAGCCACAGCCCCTGACGGCCCTTTAATAATAATAGAAGCTTCCACACTCTAAAAGCGAAAAAAGCCATCCTCCAAAGGTGCCCCAAAATGGCTGCCGGCCTTCCGCTTTTAAAGTGGGATATAGTGCTTTAAACCTCCCCTTCTTCCCTTTCTTCCTCCTCCTCCTTCTGGCGCTTCTCCTTTGTTTATGTGCCCAGAGTGGTTCTGCTGGTTTATGGCTTTATTTTATTGTGGTTTATTTTATGACGCGTGCAGCTTTGACCTCTGTTGACAAATGCTAAAGTGCAGAGGTCAGGAAAGGTTAAAGCTTGGAGGGTTGGGCTCCTTACGTCTATACCCTGCGTCCCAATATCTGTCTTTACTCCCGAAGTGTGCACTTGTTCACTCCCCCTCATGGATTTAAAAGAAAAAGATTGGTATGCCTAAAACATATGGTGGAAACTCTGTCTAGAGCAAATCCAATGGTTACACAAATCCAATGCTTTTCAAATGAGCACAAGCGTACACTTCGGAAGAAAGGACATATTGGGAAGCAGCCTTTCTCTCCCTCTCTCTGTAATACTTTCCTCTTATAAATATTGTGTGTAATTGGTGTGTTTGAGGGTGTGTGTATGGATATTGTGTTGTGTTTTATGTACATATGATGTGTATATAATTTATTTATTGGTGGTTATTATTTTCGTGTCTGTAATGTACTGTGGGGTTTTCTTTCTTGTGAGTTTTATTTTTCACCTCCTTTCCTTCTTCATCTTTACCGCTCTGCCACTCTCTCTCTCTCTCTCTTTCTGTGTCTCCTTTTTCTCCTTATTTCCCACTGTTGCCAAGGGAACAGTGGAAGAGAGCATTCTGGGACTTTTGTGCAAAGCATTCTGGGTTAGATTATTAAAATGAATGATTGCATAATTATTTCACTTTAATAATGTGTAAATATGTTGAAATGTGTAAATATGTTGTACTAGTAAGTCATCAAATCAGAAAATACTACATGTAGTCATGCTCCCACGATGCACTGAGTTCAAGTTGTATTATTATTATTATTATTATTATTTATTCTACAGTGTTTGTTTATCATTTTAGTATTTTGCTTTTTATTCTCATCATGTACTATTAATTAGAATGTATTATTTGGCGAAAGACCTCATCAAATCCAGAAGTGGCCTCTATCCCTATTAACCCTAAAGCAGACAGCAGTGAAGCATCCGCCCAAAGGGGCCAGCTGGGTGAATCACTCCCTAAGGACTCTTATTGGAGCAGAGTGTCTTTGTCCTGTAAGAGCTGATCCTGGACCAGGGTGAATCCCCTCCCTAAGGACTCCTAGTGGAGCAGAGTGCCTTTGTCCTGTAAGAGCTGATCCAGGAACAAAGTGTTCCCCTGGGGCTCTTACACTGAGAGCAGCTTGAGTGGCACTTACAGTCTGTTAGGCTCTGCTTTTAAACACTGGAGTAGTCCATGGGTGCTTCCCAAATGGCACCCTATTCTCTATGAAGTGCACTACCCTCTGTGCAATGGTCAAAAGTAGTGCACTATAAAGGGAATAGGGTGCCATATGTGACGAGTGGGTTCGTTTAGAATCAGGGGTCCGTTCAATTAATCTCTCTCTTGTGCACTGTTCCAGTTGATCTCTTCTACCATTGATTTTCCCTCATAGACACAAAGCACCACCGCCGTTAGGCTGCTGCTCTCTCTGTGCTGCACTCGGTATCATTGATGGACGGAAGGAGATGCCGTTCCATAATGGTGTTCTCTCTCTCTTCCCCTCTCCCTATTTCTCTCTCTGCTTCTCACTGACTGTCTCCCTCTTTCTCTCTTTGCCACTTCCCCCCCCCCCCCCCCCCCCCTCTCTCTCTCCCCCCCCCCCCCCCTTCTCTCTCTGGCGCAATAACCCATACATTTTAATTAGCAATCTCATGGCACCTGTTTTGTTATTCAATGGCCTTTTAGAATGGACTTTGATTATTGGCAGCAGACCAGAACCCTTTGCCTGAGGTTTGCCTCAGAAACACTGGAGGTCTATATACCTGGGTATGTGCTGCAGTGATGGTAAAACTGCAAATTAAAGACAAAAATAATTTTGCGCTTATATTGCTAATATTGACCATTGAACAACAGCTAATATAAAAAATAAATCCAATGCTGTACATGACAATACACGCTCAACCCCCCTTGATCTAAACCAATATGACGTATTTTAGAATCAGCAGGTGGAAATACTGTATGTAAAATCAGGCAGGCACGATTATGCATTATGTCAACAAATAGACTGGGACATACTGTATGTGACAGTGACATAGAGTCCTGGAGGGTGTGTGTCTGTGCGTGCTTGTGTGTGTGTTATTTATTGTCATATCTCGGTCATTGAAGCCAACATGGAATCATCTCTACTGTATATACTCTGGTTATCGTCTGTATATACAGAACATATATGTGTAACATACATCTATGGGTTATGTTCATTGTAGCAGTGTCAGTACAACAAACTGTTTCCTGTTTCTTAGATGTGATTGCGTCCAATATTACCTTAATACTAAACTAACCTTTTTCACCTCATAGAATATCTCTCTTTCTCTGTCTGTCCTGCCCCCCCTCTCTCTCTCTTTCTCTCAATCTTACTATTTTTCCCCCTCTCTCTTTTTTTCCCCCTTTCTCTCTCTCTTTCTCCCTCAATCTCTCTTTTCCGCCCTCCCTCCTCTCTCTCACTCATCTCTCTCTCTTTTTTTCTTATTCTCTCTCTCTCTCTCTCTTCTCTCTCTCTCTCTCTCTCTCTCTCTCTCTCTCTCTCTCTCTCTCTCTCTCCCTCTCTCTCTTTCTCTCTCTTGGGCCACTATCAAGGTACAAGCAATATGCATGAGGAAAAGAACAGTAGGATTAGATTCTTCAATCAGGAGGAGATGTAGTAGGTTCATTCATTCATCTATAGTGCCCCTCTCCCTCTCCCCATTGTAAGTAATGTGTGTTCTGCATGTGTGTTCATGTATGTTTCCATGTGACATAGCAGAGAGCTGGCCATCTAGGCCCCAGCGTGGTTTCCTATGAATCAACTCAATGTTCTTTGGGGATATGGTGTTTGTGTGTTAAAACGTGGTTCAGTTTGTCATGCTATGTCTGATACATACAGGTTTTGTACTGTATGTATGGTTACTGTATCAATTGTGTTGTTGTCTGTCATACATCCATAAATGTGAAAAATGTGTTGCAAATATTGCCTTGGGTGATTACAAATCTACATGTTGCTTCGTAATGTGCCATAACAATAATCAGCCAATGCAAATATATAATACTTTGTATATAATATATAATACAAAAAAAGTGGGAACATAATAAGAAAAATGTATGCAAATTAAGATATTTAAACCTATTAAATGAAAATGTACTATACTTTGGCAGTTTAAAACAATCTACAGTATATGCATGTATTTAAGCTGCTTGCCACAGTGATACTACAGTGATACGGTACTACAGTGATACCACAGTGATACTACAGTGATACTACACTAATACTACAGTGATACGATACTACAGTGATACTGTACCACAGTAATACTACAGTGATACGTTACTACAGTGATACTACAGTGATACTACACTAAACTATAGTGATATGATACTACAGTGATACTGTACCACAGTAATACTACAGTGATACTACAGTGATACTACAGTGATACTACTATAGTGATACTACAGTTGTATTACAGTGATACTACACTAATACTACAGTGATACTACAGTTGTATGACATTGATAATACAGCACACATTTTATTGAACTCTATTGCTACAAAGGTATCTACTGCACAATACTGGAGTATATAGCCTATACAGTATCTGACATCAACTACCTGAGCATGCATATTTATTTACATCCACTACCAACCATCCAAACACTAGATGTAATACAAAATGGCTGCCATAACAAAGTATATAACAACTCTGATATTGGAAACCTTATCTGCATGTAGATTTGCGCTGGGGGAAATATTTGCCCCCTTGTACCCCCTTGTTTTCCTCCCTCACTCCCCTCTTCCTCCCCCCTCCCCTCCCTCCCCCTCTCAGACTAACTTCCATGTTCCGTTCCATCCCATCCCCAGGACATCCCCAGTCATTGCACCTGCGTAGCATAACTAAAGTTTGACCTGAGGTACGTACAACCGACTAGCTTCCTGCCCTCCTCCTCTGTAATACTATCTTCACACTATCAAGCCGACCCGAACCATACTGCGCTGGCTCAGATATCTTCTTTTCACATTGTCCTTTCCAGCAGAGTTCCAGCAACTGTAGTGGATGCGTAACCACTAACCAGGCCAGCATAGTACAGCTTGGTTTGGCTCGGCTCTGTTTGGCTTGGTAGTGTGAAAAGGGTATAGGAGGAACAAGCTGGTATGTCACGGCTTTGGCAGGAACAGTGCTGCATTCTGCTGCATTAAACAACCAGGCTTTGCCGTAAAGTCATGTAGAGTGACGTGAATGTGTTCAACCTGATATATGTAAGGATGCAATGCAAGAATGGAGTAGAATGACATCCATTAGCTTTTACAAATCTAAAAGTGAATCCAAATAGATTTTTTATAGTCTGAGATCTAGTAGCATTGATAATCTTTGATGGTGATGCACATGCATGTTCCGCAGAGCTCGGCAATTGTGACCTGGAGGGGGCCATGGACAAAACCTTGATTCTGTGGTCAGTGAACCATTTGCGTGTGGATTCAGAGGTATGCTTGGATCATTGTCCTGCTGGATGACCAGTTTTAGCCTCCTCGGCAGGAGAGAGACAGACAGGTTTTGGCCTAAAATCTCCTGGTACTTGATGGAGTCCATGATGCCATGTATAACAGTTTCCCAGGGCATTTGGAAGTAAAAACAGCCACAACATCACAGGTCCACACCATACTTCAAAATGGGGATTAGGGTATTTTCTGCAGACCAAGGCTCTTTTTACGCCTGACCCACCTCTGGTTGTTGTTTGCCAAAAAGCCCTAGTTAGTCTCTCAGACCATTAGACCTGTTCCAATCAATGTTCCAATGACATTTAGCAAACTCCAGGCGCATACGCTTGTAGTGGTGACAGCAGAGGTGGTAACCCTTCCAAATAGGTTGTTGCATGGAGGTGGCGTCTAATTGTAGTTTTGGAGAGTTGGTGACCCCAAGAATGTAACCAACTGTGGAATTCTCCAACTGATCCTTGGATAATTTTTGCCCTCTGAACCATCCTTCTCCTGGCATGGGGGCAAAATAGGTGCGTCCTCTTCCAAGGCAGGATTATCACAGCTCCAGTTGTTTTACATTTCTTAATTATTGCCCCTAATAGTGGAGAAGCTACATGCCTGAAAATCATATATTTTATAGCCATTGCTGCTTGGTGAAGGTCAGCAACCTTTAATCTAATTTTAATTTGTGGTTATCTGGCCTTTCCCAGTTGATGGATGACTAAGGGAGTTTAGCCTGTGTGTCACCTCATATTTATACCCCAGTGAAATAAGGAAGCATGGATGGACAATTAAGAGTTCCCAAAGAGTCAGATGACTTTAAAAGTTAAAATCGGAATATACATGAATTAGATTTTGTTCATAAGAATTTCTAGGGGTGCCAATAAATGTGACACGCAGTTTTTGGTAAAATAATTATTGTTGATGACATTCTTTCTTCTTTTGTTACTCACATTAAAGGGTCAGATTTCTATGATATTTGAGTGTAGTCAGCTGATAACAAACAACAATGACATTTTTCAAGCCTTTGTTTTCATATTACTAGGGTGGCCCAATAATTCAGGAGGGCACTGTACATCAATGTATGTTTGGAAAATGATGTGTTTACATCTCCCCACATTTAACACAGTTCGCCCCACTATGGGCTTAGCTTTGGTCAATTTCCATTCAGTTCAAATACTGCACTTACCTTACATTACACAAAACAGACACACACAACACACACACACACTCACAACCTTTGTATCCTCCTTTTCTGCCCTCCAGAGACCCCAAACCCTCTATCAGGTCCTGCAGACCAGGTAGTACTCTCTCTCTCTCTATCTCGATTCTCTCTCTTCTCCTCTCTCTCTATCTCTCTCTCTCTCTCTCTCTCTCTTCTCTCCCTCACTCTTCTCTCTCTCTCTCTCTCTCTCTCTCTCTCGCTCTCTCTCTCTCATCCTCTCTCTCTCTCTCTCTCTCGCTCTCTTACGCAACCCTCTCTTATCTCTCTCTCTCTCTCTCCTCTCGCAAGCAAAAACGCCACAACCGTTTTCCACTGAGGGGTGAGAGAATGTGCCCTGAGCGAACGGGGCCGATTGGACCTACATGACTCATTGGATCCAATAGAGGGGGAAAGAGAGAGGGAGCTGGGCTTAATTGTGCGATGGGAGGCTAAATGGAGCTATGTAATGTAATGTGAGCGATATGATGGCCACCCCTACCTCCCCCTCCTCATCTCCTCCCTCCCTCCATCCTTCCTTCCTTCCTTCCCAGAGACCTCGTCTGCAATCTCAGCCCCGGCCTCCACTCAAATTCACCCTCTCAGAACTCTACTCCTCCACACACACAACACACAGGATTTCTCACTACATGTACTTGTAGCCTACCCCTCGACTCACCGTCTTAGAGTCCTGTTACACACCATCAACTGAACCCTTAACGACCCATTTCACCAATTAAGCCACTACGCAACGCTACCAACATAACAAAAGATTCTGATCGGGAGTGTGTGTGTGTGAATGAGCTACAGTACATGTGTTTGGCTGTGGATGTCCCTCTGTCCATCGGCTAGCGCTGTGTGCGTACAAATGTGTGTGCGTTTGTGTGTATATCTGTGTGTGTGTTTGTCGTCAGCGATGCAAGCCCTCTGTTCTCTGCAGTGTGTATGTGTGTGTGTGTGTGTGTGTATGTGTGTTAGGACCACCATGGAGAGGGGTGGGGGTGGGGTTGTGAGGTGGGCCATGTCTTCTGACGTGTCTGTTGTTGTGTTGTCTCCCTCCTCAGGTTGTGTCGTGTCATGCGTTTGTATGTCGGCTCTTGTTGCTCTGTGTTACACTTGTCTGTCTGTCGCGGTCCTCTCCCCAGTCTATGTCCTCTGTCCGTCTGTCCGTTGTGTGTCCTGTGTTTTCCTTTGTGCTCCCGTTGTTTTTGTTGTGGTTTTTGTTGTGTGTTGCCGTGTCCTGCTCTCGCTCCTGTGGCTCTTTACTCTGGTACGGTCTCCTCTCGCTTCCTCAGAGACACTAGTACAACTGCCCTGTTTAGCAGTGTACAAACAGTCACACAGCCAATACACAAATCCAAGATACTGTATAATCCAAGATATACAATTGGAGAATTCTGAGAGAACAAAACTGTGACACACTTAAATCCAGATGATTGGACCAAATCAGTGTTAACATGTTTGTGTTATATAAACTGGTAGCAGAGTAAAATCCACTGGTGTGTACTGGTTGATTTCTTGAAGTGAAAGCTGGTTACTTCTCTCTCTTTTCTGGAACTGCCTCCACGCTGAGGTGACCAGAACATTGTTTCATCACAGTACCAGGGGGGAACCCAGGCCCTATGTGCTGGTCCAGGGTCAGTCCTTAGGACCTCAATCCTCTCCATTCTCCTTTACAACCCTAAACCAAGACTGACTCTGGATCAGATCTTATGCCTGCTCCCTAATCCCCACCACCACAAATGTCCCTATATGAGTGGCATTGACTCAAGCTGTCAAGCTATCATAGTCTATACAGCAGTATATCTATGAATGTTAGTGGCTGGAGTGGGGGATGCATTTGGCTGTGCTGAAACACTGTTCACGAGTCTAGTGCTTCTAAGGTGTGCTTCAGTCCTAGTGGGAGAGCACTAAGGCCAGGCTAGATCAACACGTCTAGATACTGTACACACCTTGGGACTGACAGGCTGACCGGCACTGGGCAGGTGTAAATGGCACCCCTCCACACACACAGTGTTACACACAGACACACTGGCAGAAAGACTGGCAGACAGACTGGCAGGCAGACTGACAGACAGACTGATTTACAAGCAGACAGACAGTCAGACAGACAGACTTACAGACAGACTTACAGACAGACCGACAGAGACTGGCAGACTGGCAGACAGACAGGCAGACAGACTTACATACAGACTGCTACGTGCAGTGCCAGGTAAGTGACAGTAGTAGCCGTGCGGTCTGTGGGGACTGGCTGACTGGTGTTAGTGGTGACAGAGTGTGTTGAGCCACAGCCCCTGACGGCCCTGTAATAATAATAGAAGCTTCCTCCACACTCTAAAAGCGGAAAAAAAAGCCATCCTCCAAAGGCGCCCCAAAATGGCTGCCGGCCCTTCCGCTTTTTTAAAGTGGGATATAGTGCTTTAAACCTCCCCTTCTTCCCTTTCTTCCTCCTCCTCCTCCTTCTGGCGCTTCTCCTTTGTTTCTGTGCCCAGAGTGGTTCTGCTGGTTTATGGCTTTATTTTATTGTGGTTTATTTTAATGACGCGTGCAGCTTTGACCTCTGTTGACAAATGCTAAAGTGCAGAGGTCAGGAAAGGTTAAATCTTGGAGGGTTGGGCTCCTTACATCTATACCCTGCGTCCCAATATCTGTCCTTACTCCCGAAGTGTGCACTTGTTCACTCCCCCTCATGGATTTAAAAGAAAAAGATTGGTATGCCTAAAACATATGGTGGAAACTCTGTCTAGAGAAAATCCAATGGTTACACAAATCCAATGCTTTTCAAATGAGCTGGGGGAAAGCACAAGCGTACACTTCGGGAGAAAGGACATATTGGGAAGCAGCCTTTCTCCCGCTCTCTGTAATACTTTCCTCTTATAAATATTGTGTGTAATTGGTGTGTTTGAGGGTGTGTGTGGATATTGTGTTGTGTTTTATGTACATATGATGTGTATTTATTTTCGTACCTGTAATGTACTGTGGGGTTTTCTTTCTTTCTTCATCTTTACCGCTCCTTCTCTTCTCCTCTCTCTCTTTCTTGTCTCCTTTTTCTCCTTATTTCCCACTGTTGCCAAGGGAACAGTGGAAGAGAGCATTCTGGGACTTTTGTGCAAAGCATTCTGGGTTACATTTACATTTACATCATTTAGCAGACGCTCTTATCCAGAGCGACTTACAAATTGATTATTAAAATGAATGATTGCATAATTCTTTCACTTTAATAATGTGTAAATATGTTGTACTAGTATGTAATCAAATCAGATAATACTACATGTAGTCATCAAACCATGCTCCCACGATGCACTGAGTTCAAGTTGTATTATTATTATTATTATTATTATTTATTCTACAGTGTTTGTTTATCATTTTAATATTTTGCTTTTTATTCTCATCATGTACTATTAATTAGAATGTATTATTTGGCGAAAGACCTCATCAAATCCAGAAGTGGCCTCTATCCCTATAAGCAGACAGCAGTGCAGCATCAGCCCAAAGGGGCCAGCTGGGTGAATCACTCCCTAAGGACTCTTATTGGAGCAGAGGGTCTTTGTCCTGTAAGAGCTGATCCAGGACCAGGGTGAATCCCCTCCCTAATGACTCCTAGTGGAGCAGAGTGTCTTTGTCCTGTAAGAGCTGATCCAGGAACAAAGTGTTCCCTTGGGGCTCTTACACTGAGAGCAGCTTGAGTAGCACTTACAGTCTGTCAGGCTCTACTTTTAAAACACTGGAGTAGTCCAGGGGTGCTTCCCAAATGGCACCCTATTCCCTATGAAGTGCACTACCCTCTATGTGCAATGGTCAAAAGTAATGCATTATATAGGGAATAGGGTGCCATATGTGACGAGTGGGTTCATTTAGAATCAGGGGTCCGTTCAATTAATCTCTCTCTTGTGCGCTGTTCCAGTTGATCTCTTCTACCATTGATTTTCCCTCATAGACACAAAGCACCACCGCCGTTAGGCTGCTGCTCTCTCTGTGCTGCACTCGGAATCATTGATGGACGGAAGGAGATGCCGTTCCATAATGGTGTTCTCTCTCTCTCTTCCCCTCTCCCTATTTCTCTCTCTGCTTCTCACTGTCTCTCTCCCTCTTTCTCTCTTTGCCACTTTGTCCTCTCTCTCCCCCTCCCTTCCCCCCCTATTTCTCTCCCCCCCACCCCTTTCTTTCTCTGGCGCAATAACCCATTCATTTGAATTAGCAATCTCATGGCACCCGTTTTGTTATTCAAACCAGGCTGTCTTGATAATCAATGGCCTTTTAGAATGGACTTTGATTATTGGCAGCAGACCAGAACCCTTTGCCTGAGGTTTGCCTCAGAAACACTGGAGGTCTATATACCTGGGTATGTGCTGCAGTGATGGTAAAACTGCAGATTAAAGACAAAGATAATATTGCACTTAAATTGCTAATATTGACCATTGAACAACAGCTAATATAAAAATAAATCCAATGCTGTACATGACAATACACGCTCAACCCCCCTCGATCTAAACCAATATGATGTCTTTTAGAATCAGCAGGTGAAAATACTGTATGTAAAATCAGGCAGGCATGATTATGCATTATATCAATGAATAGACTGGGACATACTGTATGTGACAGTGACATAGAGTCCTGAAGAGTGGGTGTCTGTGCGTGCTTGTGTGTGTGTGTGTGCGTGCATGTGTGTGTGTGTTATTTATTGTCATATCTCAGTCATTGACGCCAACATGGAATCATCTCTACTGTATATACTCTGGTTATCCTCTGTATATACAGAACATAAATGCGTAACCTACATCTATGGGTTATGTTCATTGTAGCAGTGTCAGTACAACGAACAGTTTCCTGTTTCTTAGATGTGATTGCGTCCAATATTACCATAATACTAAACTAACCTTTTTCACCTCATAGAATATTTATCTTTCTCTGTCTGTCCTGTCCTCCCCTCTCTCTTTCTCTCTCTCTCTCTCTCTCTCTCTCTCTCTCTCTCTCTCTCTCTCTCCTCTCTCTCTCCTCTCTCTCTCTCTCTCTCTCTCTCTCTCTCTCTCTCTCTCTCTCTCTCTCTCTCTCTCTCTCTCTCCGTCATGGGCCACTATCAAGGTACATGCAATATGCATGAGGAAAAGAACAGTAGGATTAGATTCTTCAATCAGGAGGAGATTTAGTAGGTTAATTCATTCATCTATAGTTCCCCTCTCCCTCTCCCCATTGTAAGTAATGTGTGTTCTGCATGTGTGTTCATGTATGTGTCCATGTGACATAGCAGAGAGCTGGCCATCTAGGCCCAGTGTGGTTTCCTATTAATCAACTCAATGTTCTTTGGGGATATGGTGTTTGTGTGTTAAAACGTGGTTGAGTTTGTCACGCTATGTCTGATACATACAGATTTTGTACTGTATGTATGGTTACTGTATCAATTGTGTTGTTGTCTGTCATACATCCATAAATGTGAAAAATGTGTTGCAAATATTGCCTCGGGTGATTACAAATCTACATGTTGCTTCGTAATGTGACATAACAATAATCAGCCAATGCAAATGTATAATACTTTGTATATAATATATAATACTAAAAAAGTGGGAACATAATAAGAAAAATGTATGCAAATTATTAAATGAAAATGTACTATACTTTGGCAGTTTAAAACAATGTACAGTATATGCATGTATTTAAGCTGCTTGTATTTAATGCCACAGTGATACTACAGTGATACCACAGTAATACTACAGTGATATGGTACTACAGTGATACCACAGTGATACTACAGTGATACTACACTAATACTACAGTGATACGATATTACAGTGATACTGTACCACAGTAATACTACAGTAATACTACACTAATACTACAGTGATACTACAGTAATACTACTATAGTGATACTACATGATATTACACTAATACTACAGTGACAGTTGTGCGACAGTGATAATACAGTACACATTTTATTGAACTCTATTGCTACAAAGGTATCTACTGCACAATACTGGAGTATATAGCCTATACAGTATCTGACATCAACTACCTGAGCATGCATATTTATTTACATCCACTACCAACCATCCAAACACTAGATGTAATACAAAATGGCTGCCATAACAAAGTATATAACAACTCTGATATTGGAAACCTTATCTGCATGTAGATTTGCGCTGGGGGAAATATTTGCCCCCTTGTTTTCCTCCCTCACTCCCCTCTTCCTCCCCCTTCCCCTCCCTCCCCCTCTCAAACTAACTTCCATGTTCCGTTCCATCCCATCCCCAGGACATCCCCAGTCATTGCACCTGCGTAGCGTAACTAAAGTTTGACCCGAGGTACGTACAACCGACTAGCTTCCTGCCCTCCTCCTCTGTAATACTATCTTCACACTATCAAGCCGACCCGAACCACACTGCGCTGGCTCAGATATCTTCTTTTCACATTGTCCTTTCCAGCAGAGTTCCAGCAACTGTAGTGGATGTGTATCCACTAACCAAGCCAGCACAGTACAGCTTGGTTTGGCTCGGCTCTGTTTGGCTTGGTAGTGTGAAAAGGGTAAAGGAGGAACAAGCTGGTATGTCACGGCTTTGGCAGGGACAGTGCTGCATTCTGCTGCATTAAACAACCAGGCTTCGCCGTAAAGTCATGTAGAGTGACGTGAATGTGTTCAACCTGATATATGTAAGGATGTAATGCAAGAATGGAGTAGAATGACATCCATTAGCTTTTACAAATCTAAAAGTGAATCCAAATGGATTTTTTTATAGTCTGAGATCTAATAGCATTAAAATATTTGATAGTGATGCACAATGCATGTTCCACAGCAAGAAAGCTTCGGCAATGCATATTGTGTGACCTCACAACTTCTTGGCCAAACTATAGATCACATACCAGCAGGCCAGTTTCAAATCATCTTGTTTTATGGCGTGTGTGTGTGTGTGCGTGCGTGCGTTCGTTCGAGTGTGTGTGTGAGCATACAGTATGCATTTGTGTCAAAATTAAGCTAAGAAACAATGTTAAGTTCTCCAGAGTGCTAATCAAACAATAGGAGTTCCTTATAAAGTCAAAACAAAAATAATGGAGTAGAGTATTCAAAAATAGATAATATATTTACAGTTTATTGGCTAATTTATTATTATTATTATAATTTTGCTCTCTTTGTTGATATGGTTTGACATTTTTGGCGATAATTTAATGAACTATTTTTGCTTGCACTTGTGAAAGTATTCACCCCCCTTGGCATTTTTCCTATTTTGTTGCCTTACAACATGGAATTAAAATTGATTTTTTGGGGGTTTGTATCATTTGATTTACACAACATGCCTACCACTTTGAAGATGCAAAATATTTTTTCTTGTGAAACAAACAAGAAATAAGACCAAAAAAAAAGAAAACTTGAGCGTGCATAACTATTCACCCCCCCCCCCCCCCAAAGTCAATACTTTGTAGAGCCACCTTTTGCAGCAATTACAGCTGCAAGTCTCTTGGGGTATGTCTCTATAAGCTTGGCACATCTAGCCACTGGGATTTTTGCCCATTCTTCAAGGCAAAACTGCTCCAGCTCCTTCAAGTTGGATGAGTTCCGCTGGTGTACAGCAATCTTTAAGTCATACCACAGATTCTCAATTGGATTGAGGTCTGGGCTTGACTAGACCATTCCAAGACATTTAAATGTTTCCCCTTAAACCACTTGAGTGTTGCTTTAGCAGTATTGTTAGGGTCATTGTCCTGCTGGAAGGTGAATCTCCATCCCAGTCTCAAATCTCTGAAAGACTAAACAGGTTTCCCTCAAGAATTTCCCTGTATTTAGCGCCATCCATCATTCCTTCAATTCTGACCAGTTTCCCAGTCCATGCTGATGAAAAACATCCCCACAGCATGATACTGCCACCACCATGCTTCACTGTGGGGATGGTGTTCTTGGGTGATGAGAGTTGGGTTTGCGCCAGACATAGCGTTTTCCTTGATGGCCAAAAAGCTGACCAGAGTACCTTCTTCCATATGTTTGGGGAGTCTCCCACATGCCTTTTGGCGAACACCAACTGTGTTTGCTTATTTTTTTCTTTAAGCAATGGCTTTTTTCTGGCCACTCTTCCGTAAAGCCCAGCTCTGTGGAGTGTATGGCTTAAAGTGGTCCTATGGACAGATACTCCAATCTCCGCTGTGGAGCTTTGCAGCTCCTTCAGGGTTATCTTTGGTCTCTTTGTTGCCTCTCTGATTAATGCCCTCCTTGCCTGGTCCTTCAGTTTTGGTGGGCGGCCCTCTCTTGGCAGGTTTGTTGTGGTGCCATATTCTTTCAATTTTTAAATAATGGATTTAATGGTGCTCCGTGGGATGTTCAAAGTTTCAGATATTTTTTTATAACCCAACCCTGATCTGTACTTCACAGCTTTGTCCCTGACCTGTTTGAAGAGCTCCTTGGTCTTCATGGTGCCGCTTGCTTGGTGGTGCCCCTTGCTTAGTGGTGTTGCAGACTCTGGGGCCTTTCAGAACAGGTGTATATATACTGAGATCATGTGACACTTAGATTGCACACAGGTGTACTTTATTTAACTAATTATGTGACTTCTGAAGGTAATTGGTTGCACCAGATCTTATTTAGGGGATTCATAGCAAAGTGGGTGAATACATATGCACGCACCACTTTTCCGTTATTTATTTTGTAGAATTTTTTGAAGTAATTTTTTTCATTTCACTTCACCAATTTGGACTATTTTGTGTATGTCCATTACATTTACATTTAAGTGATTTAGCAGACGCTCTTATCCAGAGCGACTTACAAATTGGTGCATTCAACTTAGGATAGATCCAAATAAAAATCCATTTAAATTACAGGTTGTAATGCAACAAAATAGGAAAAACGCCAAGGGGGATGAATACTTTTGCAAGGCACTGTATCTCTATCTCTCTCTGTCTCTTTCTCTCTGTCACCCCCTAGTTGTAAGGTGCATGTTGCATGGCGTGTTGGTTGCTGTGAAGGAGGTGATCTGGGTAACGTTAGATGAACAGTACGGCAATAGCCATTAGCCAATCAAATTGTCACTACCAACCACATATTCGCCTATCTATTCATTGTATTTACACATAGCCTAGTTCTAAGTCATTATATAGGGCCGGGAGTTTTGTCCAGACAACCTGATCCAACCAAGAAAAACCCAAGGCTCTAGTTCAGAGTTAAAAGCTAACAAGGGCCCAGAGTTTTTCCCAACCCTGTGACCTGACAAAGGAAAACCTCCCGGCCCTGTATCGTGAGATTACAATTCCACAAATTAATCATTACGCTAGGTATGGCTGGAATCCATCCAATGGTTACCAGCCGTTACCAAAGGCTACCAGTGGTTACTCATGTTTAACACATTGTTCTTTCCCACCTCAACCTTTCCTGACCAGGGCCTCCGTCCCGGTCCTATCCTGGTCACAGCGAGCTGAGCTAAGCAAGGCTGAAAACAAACATGTCATTACTGTTGGACATGATAGGCCAACCGGTTGGGAGGTATCGATTTCAATCAAACCACCCCCCTACGGCCTGTGGAGCCCTAAGACCACACACGCACCCATGAAAGCACACAGACACACGTACACACGCAAACACGTGCACTCTTCCAAATCAGCTAAGAGCTGCAGGGCTGGGATAGATGAGAGCTGTTACAAGGGTCGACGTCTCAAACACAAGAGTTTGAATAGAGAGAGACCAACGCAGGAGGTTATCCTACACAGCCATGCACTGTACCTTTGAATAAGGATGTGTGTACTGTACCCTACACCTAAAGTGATGCTAGTCAGATGCATATGTAAAGATATGAAAAACGGTAATTAATGCTAATACGTAAATATATTGTATTAAGAGAGTAGACACATGCACATATATTTACACAACATCAATTTGGGACAGAGGTACATGCTCAGTACATGCTCAAGTTTTAATACAGAATCCTGGAAATTACTGTACCCTCAAACAGGCACACAAACCATTAACACACATGCACATGAACACACACACACACTCTCATCACACCTGCTCGGCCAAAGAGGAGTGGTCAGGTTGTGAGGAACACGATGACCCAGATCTGTCGCGTAGCTGTAGCGTACTACCCAGGTAGTATTACCCAGCATGCCTCCTGTTCACAGCACCAGCACATGACTGAGTGGCTCCTATAGGCTGTGCATTTATGTAAGAGCCTGGCGTCAAACTAACTTACTAACTAATCCGGCCGCGACAACGTTAGCCCAGTGCTCCCCAACCCCAAACCTTCCCCTCAGTGTGGTGTTCTACGTTCTAGGTCTAAGTTCTAAATTCCAGACAGAGGCCCAAATCATCTGTTTTCTGGAGAGGATGGAAGTATAGTAATGATATGAATACATGGTAGTTGTGATAGTTCAGTAATTCAGTGTTGTATTATTTTGTTTTGTGTTCTTTTCAGATTTTGATTAGTTTGTGATGACCCAAGTTTTGTCTCTCATTTTGTTTGTTAGTTTGTGTCAGTGTGAGGAGAGGGATGGGAGCTTACAACCTCTCCCCATGCTGTTGGCGACTATGGCCCACATTTAATCAACTACAGATATTGAAAGAAACCGCCATACCTGCTGAAAAAAAAACCAGCATAGACCAGCCTTCGTTGTGTTTTCACTGGTTACCAGCCGTCGTTGTGTTTTCGCTGGTGACCAGCCTTTGTTGTGTTTTCGCCGGTGACCAGCCTTCGTTGTGTTTTCGCCGGTGACCAGCCTTCGTTGTGTTTTTGCCGGCGACCAGCCTTCGTTGTGTTTTCGCCGGTGACCAGCCTTCGTTGTGTTTTCGCCGGCGACCAGCCTTCGTTGTGTTTTTGCCGGCGACCAGCCTTCGTTGTGTTTTTGCCGGCGACCAGCCTTCGTTGTGTTTTTGCCGGCAACCAGCCTTCGTTGTGTTTCCGCTGGTGACCAGACTTCACTGTGTTTTTGACATTGATGACCAACATAAGCTGGTCACCCGCAAAACCAGCATTAAGTCAGATTATGCGGGCTTGCGAAGTGATTTCTTATTCCTATCGGAATCCAGACGGAGTAGGGATAATCATAAGGTACAATCATCACTGCACTTTGAAATGAAGGTGTGTGTGTTTGTGCCAACCGTCAGTTGAAGTGTTGTACCAGTTTAAGGGGGGTGATGGGTCAAAGGTTGAGCACCTCTTTTAACACTGTCACTTCTGCAATCTTTTTAAGAGCATGTGACATTAAAGAGCTGCACTGTTAAGAGGTTACTGTGCATTTCACTAGTGATGGGAAACCGAGGCATTCTGAAGGCTTCGGCGCTTTCACCAAAATGTGCCGAAAAACTGAGCTTCATTATCTGTTCACAATGCACATTAGTGACATCTGCTGGTTAGCAATAAATAGCAGCGTATGATTATCAGATAGATGTTGTTTTTCTCCACTGTTTTCATCAAAACTCTGTGGCGCAGCGGTAAGTTGTTGGCTTCCATACCTACAATCAGTTGGAATACCAGTTCGCATCTGTCATCATGCTTCCCTTTTTTGTCTTCAAGTTTACTATTTTTCATAATCTGAATCTATGGCGTTATTTAGGATGCTGAAGATAGAAGCTTATACTATACTAAATAAAACAAATTATTTGAACAGCAATAACTTACTGGCACCTTAACTGGCAACCTAACTGGCAACCAGATGTCAGTAAGTTATTGTAAAATGCACAGTAACTTATTTGCAGTAAGGTAGCTCACTGTACCTTCACTGAACATTTCTGATTACAAGATAGCGTATAACATTAGGTGATAACTACTCAGCATTCTTTGTGGTGAGCACACTTGGGAACCAGCCTCACCTCGCCTCAACCTCTTGGTTGATAGCAAACTGACCTTCCTGCCACACCATCAGGTCAGTGAGCATGACAGAGATCAGCCACAATAAGTTCCTGTGAATTTTACAATAACTGCTTGCAGCAAGCCGACAGTGAGTTAATGAAAATTAAGCATGAACTTCCCAATTAAAAACTGCCATTAAGTTTCTGGAAAATGCACAGTAACCTCTTAACAGCGCAGCTCTTGATTGTCACAAGCTCTTACAAAGACTGTAGAACTGGGAGCGGACAAATGAGGCGCTCAACCTTCATCATCTTCTTCTATTATATCATGGCGGTCCGCAAACAACCGTTTCATTGCATGCCGTTACCTACTGTGCTGGAATGTACGATCAATCATGATCTGCCCAATTCTGTACTACCTTGAAAATAAAAACCAAATAAATTCCTACTAACTTCTACCACACCCTCCCCCTCTCCCAAAACCCCTCCCCAACCCCCTGTACCCCATTAAACTTGACCTATATCATGCTGAAACACTCCACCCTTAGGATTGTTCAACATGTCAACAACCACTTCAACAGTAACATCTGTTACCTCCAATATCTCTTTTGCCGTCTCCACAATAACCTTCAAACTGGCATTTCTACTTTCCACAACCCGAGTCGCATTGATAACCTTAACAATAAAAGCTATGAAGTAAACATTCATGAGCACAAGATTTCTGAACAGGCCTCGAAACCATGCCAGGACCAGCAGAAACACCAGCCCCGACATTAGGTCCACTTAGTACAGGAGCAGCCATGGAAGCTCCATCATTCCATACTGTAGTTCTACCAATCTGTCTTACAGCCTCTGAATACGATACATCATGACTCATTCTATATCTCTGAGACTGTCTAGCCTCTCTCTGCACCTGGCATCCACCAAATGCTGCACTATGTTCCCCCACACAATTACAACACTTAACCTTCATATTGCTCCCACATTCACCGTAATCATGTTCCCCTCCACACTTGGCACATCTTTTCTTTCCTTTACATTGAACAGCTACATGTCTCATTCTTTGACATTTAAAACACAGCAATGGGGACGGGACAAATTCTCTGACATTGAAACTAAAGAATCCTATCTGTACTTTCCCAGGCATAACCTTCTCAAACATTGGCAGCACTGATAGGCTTTCACTTCTTTGACCTTCTTTCCTACTGATCAACCTTTTGACCTCAATCACTCTTCCTCCCTTCACATTTTCTTTAACATCATCTATGGACATAGATATTAGGACCCTAGTGATGACTCCCCTCAATCTAGAATAAGCACCAGGGACATGGCTTTTAATCTTCTTCATGTTAAGCGTTTCTATTTTCAGAATCTTCTCTTGCTGAGCCTGGCTACCACACAATATTAACAATCTACCATTTCCAATGAACCGAGCTAATTTGACCTACCTCTTTCTCTACGGCATTAGTTAGTCGGACAGGGTGTAAATGTGGCCCTGTGGTCTCATCAAATACTATCACCACTTTCCACTCCAACGCATTATTACTCTTGCTTCCTACCTTGGCCCTCGTTATGCTTCCTTTACTAGACGCTCCATTGCTTTCTGTATCATGATCTCTCTTTTTCCTGTGTCTTTCCACTACCGACCCTTGACCCTCATCCTCCCGCTCCATACCATCAGAACTGACTCCCATATTGTTCGCATTCCAACATAGCTGTTGCTTCACCAACTTTTTCTCCATTTTGTCCACACTACTCGCCGCCATTTTCGACTCCCAGACACCACACACTACACCTAGAAGATTGCACCGGTTTTCAATGTCTATGGACTGCACTCATTGAGCAGTGATCGCGGCAGCACACTGCACTGTACGATAGTTGTTCCTCCTCAACCTTCATCAACATAATGATAAAACCACTTCAACTGGTACAATACTTCCACTAACATATTTTAGACCATGCCCCCAAATATGCTAATGAGCCCCACCAGCACATTTCAAAGTGCAGTGAAAGTAAGGTAAACAAGTCATTTCACAACAATAACACCTTAATTCAACTGTAAAAAATCAAGTGTTTAAAGTTTAATGGGTTCTCATGCACAAAATGCATATCAGCCAATGAAATCTTTATTTTTTTAAAACTATTTTCTACATTGTAGAATAACAGTGAAGACATCAAAACTATGAAATAACAAATGGAATCATGTTGTAAACAAAAAAGTGTTTAACAAATCAAAATATATTTTATATTTGAGATTCTTCAAATAGCCACCCTTTGCCTTGATGACAGCTTTGCACACTCTTGGCATTCTCTCAACCAGCTTTACCTGGAATGCTTTTCCAACAGTCTTGAAGGAGTTCCCACATATGCTGAGCACTTGTTGGCTGCTTTTCCTTAACTCTGCGATCCAACTAATCCCAAAACATCTCAATTGGGTTGAGGTCGGGTGATTGTGGAGGCCAGGTCATCTGATGCAGCACTCCATCACTCTCCTTCTTGGTCAAATAGCTCTTACACAGCCTGGAGGTGTGTTGGGTCATTGTACTGTTGAAAACAAATTATAGTCCCACTAAGCGCAAACCAGATGGGATGGCGGATCGCTGCAGAATGCTGTGGTAGCCATGCTGGTTAAATGTGCCT